GCCAATGTTGACTTCTCGAACTTGGTGAGCATGATGTCGGTTGACAACGTTGTGAAGGCTCCTCGGGCTCCGCGTGCTGAGAAATAGAAGAAGGAGAGCGCGCAACCCACCAGCGCGAAGAGGAAGGTGGTGGAGCAGCCGTTGGTTGCGGAAAAGCCAAGGAAGACGGCTCGAGTGACCGAGCGGCCCGCGCAGGCGGCGCAACAGCTTCCTCTAGTGATTTCTAAACCGGAGGCGCGGGTGTGCAAATCTCCTCGCCCTGAGAGGACAGTGGCTGCCAGTCCGTCCAGGGCGACCATTCAACAGAAACTGCTAGAGATGGCCAGTTTTGGAGGAACTGTCGCCGCCGCAATCAATTACTTCCGCGATGTGCGAATCCACACCGGTGTGGCGTGCAATAGTTCGGCCGCTCAGACCGCTCTTCGAGCGCTTGACCCTATACTGAGTGTCCCCACGCGGCTGGAGAAGTCAGACCCGCTGCAGGACCTGACTCAGGTTCACTTCGCGGTAAGATTAGGTTGATCTTGCACGTATTATTTGTTAAATGAAATTTTGCTAAGTCTTGCGGCGTTGTGAATGTAGGGTTTGCTGGCGACTTTCCGAGCTCAGCAGGAGCGAGCTTCGCACCGCGCGAAGCTGAAGGCGGAGGAGTCGAGGATTGTCCAATTGGAGGGCAAGCTCGCTAGAGCGGAAAGTCGCGCGGAAGTGGCGATGAATAAAGCCAATGAGGCTATGGAGGAGCTCGGCGTTCTGCAGAGCAAGTTGGCAGAGGACGTGGAGGCGGCGAAGGAGCGGGTCAGGGCGGAGGAGCGCGACACTATCCGAGTGGAGTTGCGAAGTCAATTCGTGGAAGAGAAGAAGCAGCTTGAGGCGGAGCACGCGGAAAAGCTGAGGCAGGTCCGCGAGGAATCCCAGAAGGAGAAGGAAGATCTGGTCCGCCTACATGATGTAGCGAAGAAGGTGCAACCAGAAAATCCGGGGATCCGCTGGAACACTCGCGCGATGGTGCGACATGTTCAAATGTGGCTGGGTGAGAAGAGGTCTTTAGAGTCCAATTCTGAGCCGGAGGCTGAGGAAGAGGAGGTGCGTGTGGATGCGAGAGAGGATGAGGAAACTAGGTCTGGCGGCGAAGAGCAAGCTGATGCGGCGTGGACTACCACTGAGAATGTTGTGACGGACCAAGTGTAGTCGCGCTAGTTTGATATCGTTTTGCGAACATTGCTCCCGTTAATTGAAGTCCAAAAAGTTTCAATTCTATCTTTAATCTCGTGTGACGCGTAATTCATGATTGGCGCTTTGTGTGTTTTTGCGCTCGTGGAGCGGTGGCGCGAATAATTCATGATTATTGCTATTCGTGTTCCGTAGAACTTTTGCACAATTTGTGATTGACGCTTGGTATGTTTTGCTTGCGTGGAGCGGTGACGCGAATAATTCATGATTATTGCTATGCATGTTTCATAGAACTTTTGCGCAATTCGTGATTGACGCTTGTATGTTTTGCTCGCGTGGAGCGGTGGCTCGAATAATTCATGATTATTGCTATGCATGTTCTATCGAACTTGGTATTTATTTCATGATTCTTCGCGCAAAAGGCGTTGTTGTTAACAAGATACACATCAGGTGGGGTGGCAGTACTTCCTGAGGTTTTGCGCATTCCACGTCCTTGGGATCTTCGTGCCCCCCAACTCGCTGAGCTTGAATGTGTTGGCACCGATAACCTCGCGGACTAGGTAAGGGCCTTCCCATGTTGAGGCAAGTTTCCCATGTTTGGGGTCGGGGCGGAAGTTTCGCCTAAGTACTTGGTCTCCTAGGACCAGCTTATGGAACTAGCTTTGCGTTGTAGTACTTTGCTACTTGTTCCTTAGTGGCGGCTAGCCTGATGGCTGCCAATTCCCGTCGCTCTTGTGCCAGCTCTAAATCCAGCAGCCACGCTTGGTCATTAATCTCCTCATCATACATCGTGATTCGGTAGGTGGGTGTGGCCGTCTCGATGGGGATCACCGCGTCTGTGCCATATGTGAGGGCGAAGGGGGTTTCGCCTGTCGCCACTTTGAATGTGGTGCGGTGCGCCCATAGCACTGTGTGAAGCTCGTCTACCCAATTTCCTTTCGCCTCGTTAAGGAGGGTGTGTAGGCCGTGTAAAATTGCTTTGTTCGCCGACTATGCTTGGCCGCTGGCTTGGGGGTAGGCCACCGAAGCGAATCTCGCAATGACTCCAACCTGATTGCAAAAGTCTATCACCTGCGCGCAATTGAACTGCTTTCCATGGTCAAATACTAGTGCGTTCGGAACACCAAATCGCTCAAGGATGTTATTTTTTAGGAAGCGGGTCACCTGTTGTGCGGTTATCGATGCTAGTGCTTCCGCTTCATTCCACTTGGTGAAGTAGTCCACCGCCACAATTATGTACTTGCGCTTTCCATTTGCCGTGGGAAAGGGGCCCAAAAGGTCCACTCCCCATTGCGCGAAGGGCTATGGACTTAGGTTGCCTTGAAGCTCGGTCGATGGTAGGTGATGCTAGCGCGCGTTCACTTGACACTTGTGGCATTGGTCTGCGTATTTTTTTGTGCCCTTTTTCACTCGCGGCCAGGCCAGTAGTATCCGTGCATCAAGATAGTTCGTTCCATGCTGCGCGCCCCTGTGTGTATTGCGCACAAGCCTTCATGTACCTCTTCTTGCCCGATGCATTTTAAGTACACGCCAGAGTATGACCGGTGGTACAGCTCCCCACCAATGAGCGTGCAACGGGCCGCTTTCTGCCTCAGGGTCCATGCCTCTTTAGTGTCTTCTGGCACCAGGCCGTCTTCTAGGTATCTTATGATCGGGGCTCTCCAGTCTTCTTCCTGTACTATTTGTGTGGTGTTGACCACGATGTCCCGGCGGGCTTCCTCTTCTTCTTTTTGGACTGAGACTAGGCGCGACGATTCAAAGTCGGTGGCAGTTGCTAGTTTGGATAACGCGTTCGAGTGCATGTTTTCCTCTCTTGGTATTTGCACGTAGGTCACCGCTTCAAAGGTACTTGCTCATTGTTTGACACGCTCAATGTATTGCGCGAGCGTGTCCTCTTTTGCATCGAAGTTCCCGTTCAGGTGGTTGACTGCCAGCGAAGAGTCAGATAGCACCCTGATTGTTCTTGCGCCCAGTTCATTGGCGGCCGTCATTCCCGCCAAGATGGCCTCGTACACAGCTGCGTTATTTGTTTTCAACACTCTGAATCGGATTGCTATTTCATGGACGACGCCCGTCGGGGTGCGCACGACAACACCCGCTCCAGCCCCCATGTTTGCTCGTCGCGCCGTCCACGTATACCTCTCATACTCCTTCTGGTGTTGTATCAAGAGTGACTCCTTCGGCAATGAAATTCTCTAGTATCTGCGCTTTTATTTATGGTCTTGGAGCGTATTGGATGTCGTACTCTGACAACTCGACCTACCATTTAACCATCCGCCCGGACACTTCCATTGATGTCAGTATCTTTTTCAGCGGAAGGTTGGTCAGGACTGTGATCGAATGCGCTTGAAAATAGGGACGTAGTTTTTGCGACGCGCTTACTAGCGCCAAGGCGGATTCCTCAATCGGGGAATACCTTGTTTCTGCGCAAACTAGGGTCCTCGACGTGTAATACACGGGGCGTTCACCCTGGCTGTCTCTTCTGGATATTAGCACCGCGCTCACAGCTCTTGTTGACACCGCAAGGTACAAAAAAAGTTTTTCATTAAGCTTGGGAGTGGTCAGTACAGGGGGGGATACAAGATATGCTTTGAGTTCTTGGAAGGCAGCTTTACATTCCTTGGACCATGCGAATCGCTTGCCGTTCTTGAGCGTTTTGAAGAAAGGGGCACACTTGTTGGCTAATTTTGGAATGAATCTTCTCAGGGCCGCTATCTTGCCATTTAAAGATTGTATCTCCACCGCGCTCCTTGGCGCTCGCAGCTGTTGGACGACCGTGATCTGCTTCGAGTTGACTTCGATGCCTCGCTTGGTAATCATAAAACCCAAAAACTTTCCCACTTCCGCTCCAAACACACACTTCAAGGGGTTCAAGCGGAGGCTGTGTTTGCGGAGCGCTTCAAAAGTCTCGCGCAAGTCTTCCAGATGGGAGTTGCCCATTTTGGTTTTGACGATGAGGTCGTCCACGTATGCCTCAATATTCCGCCCTATATGTTGTGAGAACACCGAGTCGATCATTCTCTGGTAAGTGGCGCCAGCATTCTTCAATCCGAATGGCATCCCGACGAAGCAGAAGTTTTCGAATGGCGTCATGAAAGTCGTCTTTTCTTCATCTTTGCGGGACATTGGGATTTGATGGTATCCTGAGAACATGTCTAGGAAAGACAGTGTCTCGTGGTCAGAGGTGGCGTCAATTAATTGGTCGATGCGCGGTAGCGGGTAAGGGTCCCCTAGGCACACCTTGTTGATCATTGTATAGTCGACGCACATCTGCCAGGCCCCGAAGGATTTTTTCACTAGGACCACGTTGGCCAACCCCTTCGGGTATTTCACTTCGTGGATCAGCCCCGCGGCAAGTAGGCGCGCGACTTCTTCTTCTATGGCTTTCAGTTTGTCGCCCGTGAAGCTTCGTCGTGCTTGCTGCCTTGGTTCCGCATTTGCGGGAACTGCAAAGCAATGTTGCGCTACTTGTCTTGGTACCCCTGGCATGTCTTTAGTGCACCAGGCGAACAACTCCTTGTATTCTTTTAGGAGCGCGATTAGTGGTTCGATCACGTCGCTGTGGACGTGCATTGAGATGCGAACCTTCCTTTCTGGTTTGGTGGGATCGAGAGAGACTTCGAAATCAGAGTCCATGGATTCTGGGCGCGGGTCCTCTGCCCTCTGTCGCGCTACCCCCATCTATCAGTAGGCGGTGGATTTTGCAGGCGGCCACCAGTGCCGTGATGGCGAGTGGGTCTTCTGACGGGGTCCCTTGCGGGAATTCGGTGTCGTCGAAGCTTAAGTTACATTTTCGCTGCACCTCGGCTGTCACACATTCCATCGCGCGCTCACGCTTGGTCTTTTTCTTTGGGCGGTCTCCTTCCACTGTTACCACCCCTATTTCTTTTCGTACTACATACGAGCCGGTGGCCTCGTCATAGTCGGGTTGCGGAGGGGGTGGCGGTTTTCAAGGTTGTTCCTTCTGCTCTTCCGCCCCATGAATGAACTCGGTTAATAGTCCCCTCCTGATGAGGCCTTCAATTTCGTAGCGCAGTTCCCTGCAGCCTTCCGTCATGTGGCCCGTCTCCGTGTGAAATTCACAACGCTTGCTTGGGTCGCGCATGTGTGGTAGGGCCCTCACGGGCGCGGGCCAGTTGATATTGTAACCCTTCTCGCGGAGCACATGGAACACATTTTTTATCGGGTCGTTGAGTGGGGTATAATTGTTTTGAGGGCGACCGTCTGGTGAACGTCTTTGCAGTGCCAGCTCTGTTGGGGCGGGCGTGCGCCTCGCCCCGCTGTGCAATTGTGCCAGCTGTTCCCATGGCACCGCGAGTTGCTTCCGCCCTTGATCTTCTCTGGGTGGTTTCGAGGGTTCGAAGCGTCTAACAGAACCTGTGCCCAAGGTTTCTTCTAGTGTGATGGCTTTCTCAATTTTAACTTCCAGCTCTGTCGTGAGCGTGACTGGTCTTTTTGCCAACGCTCGCTTGAGTTCCATGTTGTTGGTGGCGTCCATGAGGTGATGGGCGGCGGTTTCGAGGGTCAGGTCGCGCACGGCCATTGCCACCCTGGACCATCTGGCGTAGAATGCCTGTAAGCTTTCTCCATCTTTTTGCCTGATGTCGATTAAGGCCTTGAGATGGAGTGGTCTTCTTTTTTGTGACGCGAACTTGGTGGTGAACAACAGTGTGAACTCTTCAAATGAGCGGATGATTCCATTGGGAAGTCTGTTGTACCAATCGAGGCATATGCCAGAGAATGTTGAAGGAAAGGTTCGGCATAGCGCCGCGTTGGAATTGGTTTGGAGTTGCATTCTAAGGCAGAACGTGCTGACATGGTCCTCCGGGTCAGTTGTCCCGTTATATGTAGGGAGGGCGGGCGGTATTCCGCGTAGATGTTCCGCCATTATTTCCGCTCACAATGGTTGGTTGAGGATTCTTCTAGGGGGGTGAGGGCGGTACTGCGGGGATAGGTGTTGTTCCAAGAAAGTGAGGTCTGCTCTGCCCCGCGGCTCCACTTGTTGCACTTCGCGCGCGGGCGACGCGATCGCCATAAGTTGTGGCGGTGGGACAAGTTCTGGTTCCGGGATGAGATCTGGCGCTTCATCTGTTGCCGCGTTTGGTTCCACGTGTGTTATTGCCGCGGCCTCCTTGCTCATCATGAGCGCTATGACTTGACTCATCTTTTTTTGCATACCGGCTATGACTTCGTTTTGGCCATTTGCTGCCTCATTTCCTTGGCTGTCATCTCGGGCTCTTCTTCCTCGATGAGCACCGTGTTAAGGTTTGTCATTGCCTTGATCAGGTAAGTTGGGGTTGTGTTCTATCATTGGTTGATTTCCTACTGCTTTTCTACTCTGCCCCACGGTGGGCGCCAATTGTTTGAACCTAACTGAGTGTAGGAGTGAGATTCTGGAGAAGGGGACGAGAAGAGTAAGCAATGGGAGTTCACTAATGGTCGAAGAACAAAGGATTGAGAGAATGTGATTGAGAGAGTATATCTTAGAGAGAGAAGTTCGTAGTTTGTAGAGATAGAGTCAGAAAAATCCGATCCCCTCACCCACCGGAGTAAATGCCATATTTATAGGCTACATGGTGGTGGGTGAGTTACATAGTGATATGACTACTGACATGTCAAAACTTTAGACCACACCTCTACCTAGGACTAGGAGTTTGGTCCATGATTGTACCTAGGACTATGATATGACTACTCTTCGAGGAATGCGGCGTTGTTTCCATGGTTTCTTGGTCTGGTCAACGCTTGGTTGAAACGTCGTCGTTCGGCGTCTGGGATTTAGTCCGCGAGTGTTGCCTCTGCCGCGCTCAAGGTTCTCGCGCAGGCGCAACTTTGGTTGTGTTGGCACTAACGCGCCTGACCCTTTTGAGGGCGATGCCGGGGTGCTTCTTTGGCGCGGCTAGACCCGAGTCATATGCCCAACAGGACCCTATCATGGCTCCGGTTGGGTACATTCTGCATCAGACTATCCATTATCCGAATGCATTCACAACTATTTGGAAATTTTGCTCCCAACTATTTGGAAATTTTGCTCCCCAGGACGATAGTAGGGTCTGAAGCGACAGTCTAGTGGACACGGTCTTCGGCTGTACCTACACCTTTGGCACCTATCCGCCATTTTCTACCTGAAAAAGATTAAGAAAACAAACTATGAATGGGGAGCTTTACTTAAAAAAAGATGAAAAAACAGTTTGGATTCATTTTACAATCGAAGGAAATAAGCATGCCGCTCCATGCAGCGGGCTTGATAAATGATGGATTATTTCTCTTTGATGTTTAGGCCCACAGCAACTCAAAATTTTAAATTGAGAAATTACATTAGCCCATCAAAAAAGAGTCTAAGTTTTCCGATTAACAAGTTTTAGTGTGCCGTAGAATTGTCAAACGTGAGTGAAGAATATATTTGAAGAAATTACATTAGCCCACAACAAGTAAACGTGCCAATTCAAACCTTTGGTCATCTTTCGGTGTCAGGTCCACTAATTAGAGAAGTGACTTGCAAACCACCGGCAATGAACGGAAAAAACAAGCCTATTAATAGGGTTTAAAATAAACAACGGACCCAAAATTCCAATGTAAACAACACCTGACCTGCACTATTCTCTACAAAGAGCTTGAAATTGCAGCAAAAAACGAGCCTTACCCATACGCAACACACCATAATATGAAACCCTAAATAAGCCTATTCTCTGCAAAGAGCTCAAAAGATAGTTCAAGCCTCGAAACGAAGCTAGATACTGGCGTTCGTAAAAAAGGACTAGACTAGAACTAAGAAATGGAGAAGGAGAATCATATAACTGAAGAATAGCGAGTACCGTGTGCCGTCGAGAGCTACTTTGGATGTCCGGCAGAGCAGCCTATCGACCAAATAGCCAGGGAAGAAAGTACCAACTGTTGGGATGAATAGCTTTGAAAAGCTATAATGAAATTCCTAATTAATTATCCAGTATTTTCCCATAATACGAAATTAAGATGGATAATTAATAAAAGGAATATTATGGAGATAATTAGGAATAATTATCTTAATAGATTATATTTTAATTATGGGAGTAATTATCTCCCCAATTAAAATGTGACTTATTCCCAAAGAAAGAGGGAATATTCTGGGTTTTCTGCTCCTATAAATAGGAGACGCCCTAGACCCTCTAAACACACCTCAGAGAGCAGAAACACGAGAAAGAGAGTGAGTTCATAGAGCTCCGGTTTTCGCACAAAACCGTTGAGCAAATCGCAAGAGTGACTATTTTATCCTGGAGGCGACCGGTTGATAGTCTGATGTGCGAATAATGAGGTAGTGCCGCGAACGTCTTAAAGAGAGCGACCTAGTCCGCGACTCAGCCAGATCGGTAACCCTATTTTTCCTGTTCGATTCCTAACAATTTTAATATGTTTGGTTGCTGTGATTTGTATCAAATAGGATGTCGATTCTGGCTCGAACGATTCAATTGCTTATTGTTCACGACGAAGCAATTGCAATATCTCGGAGGCAGTGAATTCTTTCCCAAACCTCGAGTGGAGAAGCCATGTTCCCGTCCCCAGCATCATTCGCAGTGGCAACAGAAGGAAACGAATCCTTTCCTTGCGGCGCAAACAGCAGGGAGACCTTTCCCCTAGGCAACTTCTTGTCCTAGCAGTGAATCGGGATGAGCCTAGGCCGGCGGCAGCTGTATTCTATTTAGAGCGGACGTCGGTGGAGCTGAGTGCGTTGGCATATTGCAAAGTAAAATGGGATACAACAATTTTGGAGCTTTCTATTATTCTTCATCCACGTCAATTTCAGGTGGTCATGGGATGGGATATTGATACGAGAGCTTGTGAATGAATCGGTGAATCAATTCATAATTACAAGGGTGCAAAGGCTTGGTGGCATGTCTTTGTTCCTTTGTCATCCAAGAAAAGACAAATATGGAGTTGGTGGCGGGATTAATTGGACAGGGAGGAAAGCGCAGGCGACCTTTTATTTCCCCTCACATCACCATCCTTCCACCGAGGAAATCAACGAGATGAAAGAGCTGGAAGCAGCAAAGCTCGCTTACGTGTTGCTAAACCTAGTCCATTGTCCTCTTGTGATTGAGGTTCATAACCTGACTACTAAGTGGCTTGAGGATTATAGGTTGAACACGAAGTAGGCAGTGGCTTGAGGATTATAGGTTGAACACGAAGTAGGAAAATGACGAGGAGAAATTGGTCTCCAAATGGACTGTGGTCAATGACGTCCTCTACCAGCAAAGTGTTGAAGCATTTGCTGCTAATCTATAGTTTGTGATTGCCACGTCTGATTCCAACAAAGCGTTGTGCAAGCGTTGAAGGCGCTATACTGCGAATTCTGAAGACAACGTCTTCATGCAAAGAGGTAAGATTTTAATCTTACTTGTGAGTCATTTATGAATGACAAAATTAGAATCTATTCAATAGAATTTTGAGCATACAATTGAGAAACTTGGTGAATGCTAGAAAAGAATCTAGAACCGATGCATGATTATGTTGACATTGAGATGTGGTTTCTTGATGATTTGAGTACAATTTTATGTACATGTTGTAAAGTAGAGTAATTTTGATTACATAAATGCATACTCTGCAGTATATATATATATATATATATATATGAATGTGTATTATATAATCATATGCTATGGGAATGGGTTGTATGCCCATATTTATTTTGAACAAGTACTATATGTCAGTACTAAGTGAACCAGATCCATACCAATTAGAATGGTGCCCTTCGTGGAAACCAAAAGATAGTCGGTCAATCCTCTAAGAATGATGTTTTATTTCTCTACTATAATTGTGAGAAATTAGGTCATATGACACGGAAGTGTAGGAACAAGTATAATATTGGTTCTAGTGTTATACTTGATTAAAGAGGAAGATTGGTAGTTTTGATTGCGAAAAGAGCAGAGATTAACCATGATGGTTACTCTAAACAATGGTGGATGGATACTGGTACCTCGAAGCATATTGAGGAATCTGTTTTTAAGAAAGTGCTGTTGAGTACTGCTCACTCGACTATTTATAATGGTCATGAGAGTATGCATATTATGATAAAGCTAAAGTGTTGAATTCTTTTGTGTCTGGCATGCACGTCTTTTACGTATATCGTGAAGAATTGAAAGATAGAGTCACATTCTCATAATTGTTTGTGATAAATATATGATTTATAAACAAACTAAAAGATCCATAAGCATATGACTAGAGAATCAAAATCTTTGTATTTGATTCATTTTGAAATGGGTGAATGTAATGAGATGACAATTTGGAATAATATGACATTTTGAAATACTCTTTGTTATGTCATTATGTGGAATCCATTGATGCCATTCCATTTAAATCTAGAAATAGTGGGGTGATATCTTGCCTGCTATTTGAAATAATGGATAACTAGTGTGGGTAATGAATTTGAGTATAAACTCAGAAGAGACAAATGAACCATAAATCGCAAAAAGATTTTGGTTATGAATTTGTTTTTTACACCCTAAGAAGAGATCCTACAAGTCTGCTAGAAGTTCGAACTTCCATAAAGATGCAGATTTGTGGGAGAATCTAGGGGTGGGCAACGGGAAACGGGTATTTGGGTATACCCGTACCCGTCCCGTTTTCTGAGGGTTACGGGTACCCAAATACCCGTTATATTTATTGTGGGATGGGATTTGGGATTGTAATTTCAATATTGGGTACCCGCGGGTTACCCGCTAATACCCGTTTGGGTAATTTGGGTACCCGTTATACCCAATCACATTACACCAAATTTGATTTATAAAATCAGTTCCCAATACCCTATACACATAAACCCAGCCCAGAATCCCGAGCCCAGCCTAGCGTCTAGGCCCATATCCTATCACCTCTCCCTCACTCGGCGGCGGCGACTACTCGTGAGCCTAAGAAACAGAGACAGACTCTCCCTCTCTTGCGATCCCGGCTCGCAACAGTAGACCTAGAGCAGAGCAAGATGAATCCCGACGCCGCCGGCCGCTCCTCTCTTCTAGATCCCTGCCCCGACACCCGTCGCCCTCGAATCCTCTTCTCTGGCTCTCCCTCTATTCCGAATCTGCATTCCGAATCATGATGCGCCGGCCTCTCCTTCTCCTATTCCCCTGAGGCCGACAGCCATAGCATCTGGATTGTCATCACTTTCAGAGTACTCGTTGCGTGCTGCTGTTGAGCTACCCAGTTCTCATCAGCTTTCAAACTTCTTCTTGTGGACATTGGGGGTTCTTTTTTATTTGTGGCCAATGGGTATGGGTTCTTATTGTGGACAGTGGGGGTTCTTTTTCATTTGTGAGCAATGAGTGACTGTCGATTATGGAAATGGACAGCTGGTTTTTTTTCATTTGTGGAAAGCAAATCAGCGGGTTTTAACGGGTATAAACGGGTACCCGTATGGGTTTGGGACTTGAGATAGACTTTACTCTCCAAACGGGATTGGGTACCCGTTTCAAACGGGACGAGTATCACGTCCCGTCCCGTTGTCCACCCCTAGGAGAATCCATTATTAATGAAATTGAATTTGTGGAGTCTAGTAAGATTTAGAATCTTGTAGAGTTACCTTTTGGTTGTCAAGCCTTGGGTAATATATCGGTAGAATCAAACAAGATTTGGCATCTTTGAGAATTACCTCTTGACAATGAAGTCATGGGTAATAAATGGATTCTTTAGAGAAAAGTGAAACCTATTGGTTTAGTTTATGAGTATAAGGATACTAAGGCTTTAGGCGAAAAGGAAAAATTGTAAATTTTCTTGTTATCTATTCACCATATATAGAATAACATCCATGTATGGTCTGATTGCTAGTGTTGTGCGCCAGATGGATTGTTAAAACTGTTTCGTGAATGGTGGTTTAGATAAAGAAATCTACATGGGACAACCTACAGGGTTGTTATTCCTGAACATGTTTTTAAAGTCTATGGTGAGACAAATCATGTTATGATATGAAATCGACTTTAAAGATCATGGCATGCATGGATGATTCTCTCTCATGGTTTTGAATAAAAGTGGCAAATACATTTGTTACTAACTTGAGAACGACACTTGCACTATAAAAGACATGTTTCTTTGTTGCAAAGACTCATGACACGAATAAATGTGAAAAACCATGTTGAGTGAGAACCTTGATGAGAAGGATCCAAGTGTTTCACTTAGAGATCCAAATGACTAGGACAGTGAAAGAAATTTTTTATATATCAATCTAATTGTTTGGTTAAGATCTATAAGAAATACAAGTTATACTCTTGTCTAAATGTTTGAAGACGCTAGTACAATTTTTAAAAGAGCACTAAAGACGGTGTAAGAAAGTAAGAACATACTAGCATCGATAGTCTGCAAGAGGCAGCTAATAAACATGAGACCTGACATAGTGGGGGCACTTGGCAGGTTTACTGATTGTCCTAGTATGAAGCATTGAAATGCTATTGAAAGGGGCCATGAGATGCCTTAAGAGAACAATAGACCTTCTTGATATATGTTATCAACGGTTTCTTGTTGTATTGGTAGGGTATATTGATGCGGACAAGAATACCCTGTAGAGGACTCCAAGGCATCCAGTGGGCATGTTTTAACATCGCTGGAAGAGTTGTGTCTTGAGAGTCTAAGAAGTAAACGATCCTGGCTCAATCAACTAAAGAATCAGAAATGATGAAACTAGCAATGGCTAGTAAAGAGGAAAGTTGATTGAGAGGGTCATTACTAGAGATTCCCTTATGGGAAAGAACGATCCCTCCGGTAGTTGATTCATTGTGATAGCACCGCAGCTATTACTAAAGAAGGGAACCGGTTCTAGAACGAAAAGAGACGACAAATTCGTCGTAAGCACAGTACTGTAAGAGAACTCCTAACGATAGGAGCAATGAGGGTGGATCATGTCAGATCCTAACAGAATCTAGCTGATCCTTTGACGAAAGGATTACCTAGAGAGAAAAGTCCAAAATACCACGAAGGGTATGAGACTTATGCCTACCGAACCATGGATTACAAGTGATGGTAACCCGACCCGATAGACTGGAGATCCCAAGAAATGGGTTCAATGGGTAATAGCAAGTCATGAGTAATATTGAGAAAAGTTCATGCATAGTGAAGCATGAATCCCAAAGCCTTGGAGGTTGAGTTAAACTCTTAATGAGATCTATACTCTATGTGGAGTGAAGTACTTTACTTTGGGGGTACTTTTGATAGACTCACCTATGTGAATGTGGGAGTGGGGCCGCTCCCTATGGAACTTTGGAGGCACAAAGTTGCTAGAGCGTTCACTAAACCGGGATAACGTGCATGGTCATAAACGCACGGCCTATGAGAGAATATCGCTCAATGAAAAGATCTGGTGTGCTACATTGTCTGAGATAGGGTTCAAGACTACGAGTCACCCTTATGAAATCGGAAGTGTAACTACTACGCTAAGGTTCAAATCTTCGTGATACCTTAGCTTATGCCCGATCTTATGGAACTGTTGATGCTTAGAGATAGTTTCAAACTATTCAAGTGGGGGATTGTTGGGATGAATAGCTTTGAAAAGCTATAATGAAATTCCTAATTAATTATCTAGTATTTTCCCATAATACGAAATTAAGATGGATAATTAATAAAAGGAATATTATGGAGATGATTAGGAATAATTATCTTAATAGATTATATTTTAATTATGTGAGTAATTATCTCCCTAATTAAAATGTGACTTATTCCCAAAGAAAGAGGGAATATTCTGGGTTTTCTGCTCCTATAAATAGGAGACGCCCCAGACCCTCTAAACACACCTCAGAGAGCGGAAACACGAGAAAGAGAGTGAGTTCATAGAGCTAGGGTGTTCAAACGGTTTGGTTACCGTGGTAACCATTTTAACCGGTACTATTTGGATAATTTGGTTTGGTTAATTTGGATAATTGGTTTGGTTTGGTTAAAAAATTTAGCTTGTTTGGTTTAGGTGGTTTGATTTGGTTTCAGACACTCCTAACCAGTCAAACCAAATTAACCAGTTAAGTAATTAGTCATATATCTAACATATATTATATACACATAATACTTTGCATAACCACTCAAGAGTTAACGTTCATCCATTTGGACTCATAAAATATAAAGCTCAATATTGCTCATACAGTGTATATTTGTATATGTAAAGTCTAGACCACAACATATGGATGCCTAATTTAGATAAATTTTATACATTATGATGAATGAAAAATTGAAAGGAATGTCATTTCCCGCCTATGATAATAAGAGACTAAGTCAATTTACACAAACACAACAATTCATTAACCCATACCATTGTCATAATTTTTTGTTAGGTGAATACTTCTATACTAATCGTAAGATAATTATCTTAGTTGCATGTATTTTTGTTAAGGGTCAACTATAACTACGTGTTGATTGTTATGTTTTATTCATTATATAAATTGCGAATTTTTATGGTTAATAAACCATTAGATTTAGTATCTAAAAATATTGATAAAAAATACATTTTAGTACCTAAAGTTTCTGTGTCTTACTAACCGATACCTTAACTTTTCATGTTTTTACAAATAGGTTCAATATTTATACGTGTCATCGTGCGATTAAATTCCAATTGATCACTGCTCCCTCAATCTGTATCTCACCCTTTCATTCCACTCTTGCTCTACTGCCGTTGAACGACAGATACTATGGAGAAAAGCGAAGCGGTCGCAAATGAAAATCTCCGTAATGGAGGTGGTGGAGATGGTTCAATTTGCGGGTACGAGTCACTGTGCCAGCTTCTCAGTTCTAATCTCGAGCCCCATCTCTTAGAGGTACCAAATCAGGCGAGCGCTGCTGTTTTTTCTTTTCTGTACTTTTCTCGTTGGGAATAGCGAACTGTCGATCTGGTAAGCGATTCGATATTGCTGTTGGAATGTTATTGGAAATTGGTTCTCAAGGTCGGTCTTTGATGGGGTTTCCACCTCTACGGCCTAATGGCTGAATCATATCTTGATCAAGCTTTTGACCTTGACGATTGACTGGGAATTCACGTCTTTCAGGAAGTCAACCGCTTGATCCTGGGTTTGAATTGCGGCAAGGCGCTCCAATCGGTGGCAATCCCAGAGCCTGCAAAAGCTCTTTCTGACGAACATGATTTTGACCTTCAGGTATGTATGTATGTACTTGTGTATGACAAATAAGTCGTTTATTTGTGATGAACCCTTTTACTGTTGTGTTATCTGGTTCTTGACTTTCTAATCTCGAGGATTATAGTTTTTTTTTTTTTTTTTGTATTCAACTGTATGGTCCTTGTACGGCTCTGATGTTAATCTGTTAGCTATACTGAATTGGGTGGTTCAGGCTTTTCGTTTCAACGCTGACAGAGAGGCATTGCGAGAACCTCGGGTGGTCAGAGTTGGCCTTATCCAGAACTCGATAGCCATTCCAACAACTGCCAGCTTCTCAGATCAAAAGAAGGCCATCTTTCAGAAATTGAAGCCAATTATTGAAGCTGCTGGTTCTTCGGGTGTAAACATTCTTTGTTTGCAGGCAAGTTGGATGATGACGCATGAGTAACTTCCGCTGTTCCTTTAGGTTAAGTTATTTTATCTTATAGTCCGGGAATTACAGGAAGCATGGATGATGCCCTTTGCTTTCTGTACAAGGGAGAAGAAATGGTGTGAGCTTGCAGAGCCTATCGATGAGGAATCAACGAAATTCCTTCAGGAATATGCACGCAAATACAACATGGTTATCGTAAGCCCTATTCTAGAGAGGGATGTAAACCATGGAGACACTCTATGGAACACTGCTATTATCATCGGCAATCATGGTAACATAATCGGCAAGCACAGAAAGGTATACAGATGGCCTACATGTTGTGCCACATGTTCTTTTGGTTTCCCGGTCATTAAATGACTAATCATTGCTGCCCTTGACAGAACCATATCCCTAGAGTCGGCGACTTCAACGAAAGCACATATTATATGGAAGGAAATACTGGACACCCTGTGTTTGAAACAGCATTTGGAAAAATTGCTGTCAATATCTGTTACGGGAGGCACCATCCTTTGAATTGGTTAGCATTTGGCTTGAATGGTGCAGAGATTGTGTTCAACCCTTCAGCCACTGTTGGGGAGCTCAGCGAACCAATGTGGCCAATCGAGGTGATCTTTCTTCTGGCACCTTGATATTGTTTCCATAGAGTTAGATTTACATCAGCCGAGATGGGTCAATTGCAGTCCTGATAACTTGAAACTGGTTGTTCTTGTCCCATGGAATGGGATTATACTGATGTTGTATCACCTCTTCTTTTCAGGCTCGTAACGCAGCAATAGCAAACAGCTACTTTGTTGGATCAATCAATCGTGTTGGGACTGAAATATTCCCAAATGCATTCACCTCTGGTGATGGGAAGCCACAGCACAATGATTTTGGTCATTTTTACGGGTCAAGTTACTTCTCAGCGCCTGATGCTTCTTGCACCCCCTCATTATCTCGTCGCAAGGATGGTCTGCTGATCACGGACATGGATCTTAACCTCTGTAGACAGCTCAAGGATAAGTGGGGATTCAGAATGACTGCTCGGTATGAGATATATGCTGATTTACTTGCCCGATATGTGAGGCCGGATTTCGAGCCCCAGGTCATAACTGACCCTTCGTTGAACAGGTAAAAAGTCCCTGCAAGTTTCTGATGCCTGTGTATAATTTGGGGAAGTCGTCCGTGGGATTTACTATGTTAAACCATCAGCCGAAATAAGGTTATTTGATGTCCATGTATTTTATGTAGGGATTGTGAAGGCTTTATCTCGTAATGTATGTCGTTCCTTCTCATTCTTGTAATTGGTGTGTGGTGAATCACTTACAGTGCAGGAAGATCCTATTCTAATATATTTTCTGGTTGAAGACGATCTAATACCGAATCAACATTTAAATAGCCCTGAAGGCTAGAACCATACCCTATGCATGTGGCCAGCTATGGTTGGACCAGAGTTTGGCTAGGGTGTCATAACAATTAACAAGAGTAGATTTGATAATTTATAATCCAATTCACAAATCCAATCCATCCACTTGAATATCGTACTAATCCAATTCATTTTATTCAAATTTAATTAGATCGGTGGTTTCATGGATTGCATTCGTGGATCGTTGGCAAATTACAATATTGTACATACAAAAAATGTCATGAGAAAGTTAAGTTTGGTACCTAAAATTTTTTATTATGATATTTTAGTACCTAATTTTTCAAAATTTATATATTGATCCAAAACTTAAATGTCATTTGGATTGATTATCATAGACCAATCCACTAATTTATATGATCCAATCCATTGATACATGGATCTATCAATCTATGGATTCAATCTATTTATGGGCCATCCGATTGGAAATAAATCTAACTATTCAAAGGATACATAGGGACAACTTGGTCAAAGTAGAATAATTCCACCATGGAACGTATTCGAAATTCAAAGACCAATTAGATCCTACCATGGAACGTGAAGTTTCGCCTTCTCCGTTTTCTCCAATTCCAAGTAGCGACGGTTCTTCTTTGATGGTTGGGAAGGACGGGAGAATGAATTTGCTCACGATTTTGGATGGCTGTTACATGAAGATTTTTTTTTTTTTTTTTTTATGGGAATGGTTTGGTTTCATATACGGCAGCGAAGTGGGTTCGAAAATGTTTGTGTTAGGCAGGTGTGGGTTTGGGCTATAACGATGGGATCTCGGCAGCAGTGAATCGATAATGAAAAAGCTTTGCTTGATTAGATAGGATGCTACGAACATTTACTAACCCCAATTGGGAGTCTGATATTTGTGAATCACCTTCACTTGACGTACAACAAATTCAATTGGACAATTCCTTCAAGCACTGAATTGAAGAGCTTTGATCCCGTCCAACTTAGTTGACAATCACCTCAACTTGTTGTACAACGAATAAACCACTAATCTTATAAAGCACACTAAAAATATGAGAAAACACACAATAAATCTCATAAAGAAAACCAGAAACACTACAAGATCGATAATAAATATTTAAAAACACACAAAAGCCTCCTAATAAGACCATAAACAAGAGATAGCAAGCCACACAAAGCACATCACAAATGTCTTAAAAAGCAAAAAAGAAAAAAAAAGGAGAAAGTAGACCACAAATCTCGTGAAGCAAATCAGAAACACCACAAAGCATACAATAGATATTTTCAAAACACACCAGAAATTCCTAATGCAAATAACGAATATTATGAAGGATACTAGAAGCACGACAAAACATATCACAAATATTTTTAAAGCACGTCATAAACTTTTAATACATACCATAAATCTCATGAAGCAGACAATAAACACCAAAAAGCACACCAAAATATTTATATGGCACACTAAAAACCTCCCAATATAGGCCACAAACCTCATGAAGCAAAACAAAAACACTACAAAACAGAGCACAAATATTTTTAAAGCAAACCAAAAACTTACTAATGTAGAACAGAAACACGATAAAGCAACCACAAAATGAAGACTGGAAACACGAGAAACAAACCACAAATCTCATAATGCATATATAAAAATGTGGTGACTAGTGGTTGGAGTTTGGATTTCGACGACTTGATTACGATAACAGTGAGTCGTAACTCACCCATGGGTCCAATCATGCCAGATTTTCCAGAGATTTAATCTTTAAACTGAACTAAAATTTTCAAAAAATTGGTCACCTATAATTTGCACAAAAATATCATTGCTTTATGATAGTTCTAAAAATTAACAATAAGTTAAGAAATCTACATCATCTCTACAGATTCAATACTGCAATTCAATACACAATATTCAAACTAATGGTATTTGGGTTGTGATTTCAAAACTATCCTCCGTGTATAAGATAACCATAAATTAATTTATTTATTAAACTCTAATTAAAATTATGAATGTATGAAATAAAAATATCAAACATCAAAGAAATACTTACAGCAGAGTTAGTGGGCTAGCTAACCATAGTGAAAATGTCATATGATTTTCAGATGATTAACCCGGCGATTAGGGATGGCAATGGGTCGGATTGGGGCGGGTTTTGTCAAACCCAAACCCAAATCCATGGGTTTATCCGCCAAAAAAACCCGGGGTAAAACCCGCTGGATTTGAAAAACTCAAACCCAACCCAACCCGCTGGGTATCCGCGGGTTCATGGGTACCCGTGGGTTTTTGTGGTAAAAAATTTACAATAACAAGTTTCTTTCAAAATAAAAGTTTAACATTAATTTTCTCATACAAATTATTCATACAAAAAACACCAATCTAGAGCATACAAGCAAACCGCAAATGATCAATACAAATTGTTCAAAATTGAACATAAACATCTATAAACAATAAGATTAATTGAAAGCTTTTTACTCGTCAACTAAGTTTCTTCACTCTCCACTTCATAATATCAACTTCATTCTAAACAATTAGAAACAACAAATTATATATGTCTCCACAAACATAAAGAATATTAATTGTTTAAGGAAGATATATTATTTAGAGTATTAAATATACCGGAAAAGTAATTATATGTGTGTGGGCGGGTACCCATGGGCCGGGTTTACCTAAACCCAAACCCAACCCGACCTGGTGAATAGTGTAGCGGGTTTAAACCCGAACCCGGCCCGAAACCCGTCAACACGGGTTTTACCTGCGTTGACCGGGTTGGGTAGGGTGGGTACCCGTGGGTTCGGGTTTTGTTGCCATCCCTACCGGCGATTGACCCGTGAGAAAAATGGGTCACACACTCTCGCAGATCGACCCGCTGCAAGGTTACCGAGTTGGAGGTTACACGACGTCGTTTTTCTCTTTGGTTTACGAATGCGCCTCTTTTCCAATTTTCTTCTTCGCCTAACCCGATATTTGGAATTCTAAGTTGAACATTTGAATATGATGTTATATATGTGTGTGAATTTTTACTATATGTTAGATCCAAGTACAACCTGTTATTTTTGCGTGATTTTATATGTTATTACTCATATATATGTTAGATGAGGTTTGATATAATTTATAAATGGTTAATATATTTATATGTCCCAAACTTTTCACAAATTAAACATATTGGCCAATCTTTTCAATTGATAATTTCGTTGTCTCAACTATGCATCAAAGTTACGAAATTGGCCAAAACCAAAATTTAACTGTTATCTTGGATGGTCAAACGGGTTGACTAACAGTCAACGCGCCACATCACTACCAAGTTAGCACACACCACTTAAAAAATTTGGTCTTTTTCGCCTATTATCATTTATCTTTTTTTATTTTGAACAACAGAAAAAAGGAAAAGAAATTTAAAAATAAGAAAGATAAATGGTAATACGTGGAACAAACAAAAAAATTTAAGTAGTCTATGCTGATTTGGAAGTGACGTGGCGTGTTGACCGTTAGTCAGCGCGTTTGACCGTCCAAGATAACGGTCAAATCTCGGATTCGGCCAATTTTGTAACTTTAATGCATAGTTGAGGCCACAAAATTATAGATCGAAAAGACGGCTCAAAATATTTAATTTGTGAAAAGTTCGGAATATACAAGTATATTAATCTATTTATAAATGTATTAACAATATAATTTTATTTGAATATTCGAGCTAATCCGGATAAAACGATTGAACCATTAATCCTTAACTTACCACTTAGCCAACAGATTAAATCGGGGGTAATTCACTTTTAAGAATGTTGTATATTGGGTAATTCGGATCCATCTTCAAATGTAGAGCTATTATACTTCTTTTTATGAATTATACAATTGATGTTATACATTCGGTTATGTCGCATATGCCTAAAGGGCATTCCTTAATCTCTTGAGATAGAGATCTTTAGCATCGCAGTGGATGCCTTTTTGGGGTTAGATATAACCTGTCCTAGCAAAAGTATATTGATCCGGTTTGATTGGGTCACAAAGAATCTTCACGACTGTGCAAACTGACTTTGCCAGATTTTCAGGTGATGGAACTGTCTCATTTGCTTTTGGTAAAATTTATTATGCTATTACTATGAGAAAGTGTCTTACTTATAATGTTTGGTTGTTACCTCTCGAGGATATTCTCAACCGGTCATTAGGATACTACATCGAAGAAGTCTTCCCATTCTAAAGTCGGAGATATTTTAAGGGAAGTTCTTTCTCTCTTCTCGACTCCCTATATCAGTTTCGCGTCTTTGCTCCTCGGAGCTTTCATAGAGCTGCCCACCTCGTGGAAAAAAGGATCTTTTATCGGGAGTCCGGTTGCATACGGATTACCGTTCTTTATTATTATCAGTTTTATATATTTGTTGTTCCGCCATGGCCTTATCTTGGATAATAAAAAAAAAAGGATTAAATCGGGTTGAAAACTCAACACAGTCGGAAGTCTTCAACCCAAAAGAAAAAGAAAGGAAAGTTCAGTCTCCAGTGTGAAATCTGAACTCTCCGTCCTTACCAGCAAACACCTCAGTACTCTTACTCCGTTCAGTCATCGGTCGTCAGTTCAATCATTTATACGGAGGAAAGAATGTCGCTCCAATCATCTGTTCAAAGGGGTATGGAAAAGAGGATTCTGTTCTTCTAATTTTGCCCCAACATGCTCTCTGTTCGCCTCCTTTCAATTACTTCGTTTGGTTCTGCAGTGAGAAACCTCGGTGGATTAAGGCCTCGGATCGTTGGTTCCTTGGGAAGGCCTCACTTCACTACTACTGCTACCGAGTCTTCTTCTTCTTTTCCTCCTCCTTCCTCCGATCAAACTTCCCCTCCGGTAATCGTTTTTGTTCCGAATCCTAAATGGTTTTCTGTTTTGGGTACAGCTTCGAAACCGCAATACTAAATTCAAAATTTTTGAGATGTTGGACGTTACCCCCGGCTTTCAATCTCGCCGTACTTCTATCTGCTGTTATTTGAATTCGAATCAGTTCAGATTTTCGATGAATGATCGGATTAGGTGGTTATCAACTTTGTAGTACTGTATTTGTTATATGGTGTATTTATTTTTGCTTGGTGGTTTGCAGAGGGTTCCCAATCTCATAGGAGGTTCATTTCTTGATTCAAAGTCACCTTCAACAATTGATGTGATTAATCCGGTGAGTATACGAAGCAAGCATATTTGTAACTTGAGCTGAGTCTGGAATTATATGGGTAATTGGATTCTAATCGATAGTAGTTTCGACTAGGCCACTCAAGAAGTGGTATCCCAAGTTCCCTTAACCACACTTGACGAGTTCAAAGCTGCTGTCTCTGCTGCAAAGAATGCTTTCCGGTCATGGCGTAATACTCCAATTACCACCCGTCAGAGGGTCATGCTTAAGCTCCAAGAGCTTATCCGGAGAGATAAGGCATGCATGACAACCTTTTGTCCTTGTATTGATGAACTCATGATACCTTTCTTTGAATAATGCTTTTGTTTGTGAACTCAACGATGGTGATATTGCAGGATAAACTTGCGTTGAATATTACAACCGAACAAGGGAAGACGCTGAAAGATGCACATGGGGATGTATTTCGTGGCCTAGGTTTAATTTCTTATTTTCCACCGCTGTTTGGAGTTGTCTCTAGTAGGCAGAGGTTTGGGCTTCATTGATGACTGCTCTATGTTCTCTGGATTTTTCTAAATGCAGAGGTGGTGGAACATGCTTGTGGAATGGCAACCCTCCAAATGGGGGAGTATGTTTCTAATGTGGCACATGGAATTGACACATATAGCATCAGAGAGCCACTAGGTGTATGTGCTGGAATTTGCCCATTTAACTTCCCTGCTATGATTCCTTTATGGGTAAGTTTCTAGCTATACAATATCTTGTTTCGCGTTCTCATTTTACTTTGTGTCTCTTAGTTTGCTCCTCTTTTGAGAATACATATTAGTTAGTGATGCTAATCAGGACAAGCATTTTACATGTGCTTGTTTTCCTGCAGATGTTCCCCGTTGCAGTTACATGTGGCAATACCTTTGTTTTAAAGCCATCAGAGAAAGATCCAGGTCAGTCTTTGTTCATCAATATTTTGCTGACCTACTGCAGTGTTGTTTGCTTATGGAACTACAATTTTCTTACTCTTATACATTAGGTGTTTTCTGATAACTAATATTTGGTCCCTTGTGATTCACATGCTAATATTTTTCAGTTCATTGGTTGCTGCATTATTTTACCTGTGTAGGGAATAGTGAATATGATTTAGTTGCCAATGACATCTCTAACTGCACTAGCTTTTAATTTTTCCCTTCCTCGTATGTCATAACTATAGAAAATCACATGGCGGCTTATATATGCCATACTGGGCCTCACAGGCCTGGTGGAATTTGGTACACTCAACATTGTAAGAGAGAGAGCAGAAGTATCGATTCAGTAGCATCATTTTGACATATTCTGTGACTTTTTCATTCAAAATTTTCATCAAATAGAATTAAGTGGTTCTTGTGTGCACGGGTTAATAACAAGGCATAGTTTCTTGGGAGAAAACCCCGAATAGTTCGTAGTCCAATGTGATATTCCTTGCTTTTAATCAGTTTCCTTATTGTCTTGTCCTGTGTATGTTCTAACCTTGGTTCCAGCTAACTACAGTCTGAAGAAGGGTTAAAAGAAGACACATGTTTTTATGTTAGTAAAGTAGTAGTAAACTTTTTATACTTCTTTATACTGAGTGATAACTTAGTCATCCTATATGTCACCAGGGGCGTCATTAATGCTTGCCGAATTGGCAATGGAGGCTGGCCTGCCAGATGGTGTTCTGAACATTGTCCATGGCACCAACGTATGTATATTCTGGACACATTCTCTAGCACGTCTAGCTTTATATCCTGGTAGTCTTTGGAAATAAATAATAAGGAAAAATGAAAGTGTTAAATATGTCTAGGGTACTCTCAGTGTCAAATTTCAGAAAATATGGTAGGCAACTTTTCTGGCTTTGTACTAACCTGTGACACTCAACTGTAGCGGGCCTTATTCTGACTGCATGGATATTCCTCACTGTGTTTCACAGAGTAACTGCCGATGTCTAAATAGTGATCAACATATTTATTCCTCTATCATAAATCCCCTCCTCTTCATTTCTGTCTCATTGATGCAGGATATTGTCGATGCTATTTGTGATGATGAGGATATCAAAGCTGTTTCCTTTGTTGGCTCTAATACGGTAAGTCATTGTTGCGAGTCAATGATGAAGTTCTTATATAATTCTTGGATATATGCTCCTGCGTCTTTGATAGTTGAAGCCCAACATATGTTTGGCATTTTTTGTAAGAGAAACATATGGATAATGTGATACCTTTTGATGTTTCTTATACTGACCCTGCTTCTCAACTAATCGGCCTTTCAGTTTTCCTGTGGATAAAGTACACTATTTTTTTTTTTGGTTTATCAGCTTTTCATTTTTCCGTCTTGTGATAGGTTGACATTACGTTTCAGTCCTTAATATTTTGTGGTCCCCTTCATTTTGGACAATAGATGCTATTGTGCTTTCAAGATTAGTTGTTGTCAAATAAAACTGAGATCATACATTAGATGGTTATTAGATGGCCTACAATTAGTAACTTGTTGCTATGTGGACATTTATGTCATACCTCTCGGCTTATTTTTGCCCCAATGAATCAAAGGCTGGCATGCATATCTATGCAAGAGCATCTGCAGCAGGAAAGCGCGTTCAGGTTAGACTCAATTCATTCACAATAGATATTTGTTTCTTCTTTATGGTGCTTTGAAACTGCTTAATTGATTCTGCATTGGGATTAAATGGGATTTTCTTAATGCTATTCAGTCCAATATGGGTGCAAAAAATCACGCAATAGTGATGCCTGACGCCAACATTGATGCTACAATAAATGCTTTGGTTGCTGCTGGTTTTGGTGCTGCTGGTCAGAGGTGCATGGCACTGAGCACAGTGGTTTTTGTTGGAGATTCAAAACCATGGTATACTATGCAACTCCTGTAACTGCTGTTTAGTCTTGGTCTGATTTTATTTTGAGCATACATGGGATAATTTTTGTTTCTTCCAGGTTGAGTAGACTTGTGCAGTCTGCAAAAGCTTTGAAAGTAAATTCAGGAACAGAACCTGATGCTGACCTAGGTCCAGTAATTAGTAAGCAGGTATTGCTCTGGATCTTTTTCAAGTCTGCATGCCATCATGATGTGAAGTTGATTCTTGATACTCCATATCATTTTCATTTTATTATGAGTGGGTTTGATTGACGATGCTCCAAAATGTTTATTCCCTTATTGCTTGTATGCTGAATTTAAAGTACTATTGTTCTTCTATCTTTACAGGCCAAGGAACGGATACACCGATTAATTCAAAGTGGTGTCGAAAGTGGTGCTGAGCTAGTACTTGATGGGAGAAATATATTGGTATCTTCATTCGTAGTTCATGCTCTCTTCTATTGCTTTTTTTCTTTCCCAAGTATCAGAAACCGCGGAGCTTCTTTTTCCATAGATGGGCGCCTTTCCCTTTATTTGTTCAATCAATGCTGGATTAGCTGAGAGAAATGTCATTCTGCTTTATTGCTTTCTTTGCTTGGGCAATAGGTTCCAGGGTATGAGAATGGCAACTTCGTTGGTCCAACCATCTTGGCAGGTGTCAGACAAGATATGGAGTGCTACAAGGTACAGGGTGCACTTCCTTCAGTTGAATTTTCACGAAAAACAGTGTTTTCCTACACTGTATGATATCATGTAGGGAGCACCCTGCAGATCGATAGAAGATTTGATTATTGTACTGATTTGAAACATTCTGTTTGCAGGAGGAAATCTTTGGTCCTGTTCTAATCTGCATGGAGGTGAGTGAAGCCCAACTTCTTCAGTTTCTCTCTAGCAACACCTCTGGTGGATTGATGAGTAGTTGTTGACTCGTTTCACTTGTTTTTCATCTGGGTGTAAGGCTGACAGCTTAGAGGAAGCAATCAGTATTGTGAACCGAAACAAGTATCGTCCGCTTAATCGCTTCCTTTCTTCCTTCGTTTCTCATTGGCCACTTTACCTAAGCATCTACCTGACCTGTGGACACTTCATATCGTGGCAGATATGGCAATGGAGGTTCTATCTTTACGGCATCAGGTGCTGCTGCGAGGAAGTTCCAGACTGAAATAGAGTGTGGACAGGTAAAACTAAAGCTTTGCAATATTCAAGTGTTTGTTGTCCCAAAAAACTCCACAGAACTGGAAATGGCGCGGTATTTGTGCGATCGATTGAATCTTTTCCCCCACTACTATCTTTGTAGGTTGGCATCAATGTTCCCATCCCGGTTCCATTGCCCTTTTTCTCCTTTACCGGCAATAAAGCGTCATTTGCTGGAGATCTGAATTTCTATGGTAATTCACTCCCTTTCTCTGATAAGTGTGTTTGACTTGTGAATACCTGATCACATTATAGCTCGAGCTGGCAGCCTATGAAGGGGAATGTTGATGTCGTGGGAATTTGGTTGCAGGCAAGGCAGGAGTGAACTTTTACACACAGATCAAAACAATAACCCAACAGTGGAAGGATTTGCCAGATGGAAGCGGAGTTTCACTCGCAATGCCTACTTCTCAGTAGCTAAATAAAACTAGTTATTTGCTGTTTGTGATTGGCTCTCTTCTCTCAGCTTTCTAAATTGAAACTGGATTTTCGTTCATTTTGGGCCAAGCTTCCGAAAATGAAGTTTGTAAAAGTTGAGTCAATGGAACAGAAGGTAGTTTGTTGACTGATATATAGCTTTCTAGTTTGTTGACTGATACTGATATATATCCAAAATGGGCCGTGTAGTGCTCAACCCGGACCCAGCTTGCTTCGATGCAATTGGCCACGCCTTACACTGCTTGAGTCCTACCTAGCGCACCGTACTTTGTTTTCTAGTTATAATTTGTGAATTATTAGGTTAATGATTGCTGGAACATCAATGGAAAGTACTGTCTCTTTGATAGGGAAAGGGTTTATGAAATTTGTCCTATAAATACGTATGAATAAGAAATTGAGCATTAGTAGCAATTTCTATGTTATTTTATTGCTTTTCGTAGCTTTTCCTAGCTAATTTTCGCAAGTTTGTCGAAACTCGATGTGAAAAATTGATAGTGCATCAAAATTAACTAGCATATTGATATCCCACAAGATGTGCCTTAACGAGCTCATTTTGTCTCTCTAAAGTTGTTGTTTACACTCTTGAAGGAAGTCTTCCAAAGGGCGATTCTCAGTTCCATATCGCTTAAATAGCTGTGCATAACTTGGAAGTCTGACTTGACTCTGACTCTGACTAATAATATCTCAAATAGGTTTTATGCCCTTTCTATTCTAGGTGTTTTCAACTTTTCATATGACTTTTTATGCATAATTGAACACTAAATCATTTCATTTTAGTTTATGATTGTTTCGTATTTACTATGGACGTGTTTTGGATGAGTATTGCAAACTTTCGTCAATTTTGAAGCAAAGTTGAACAACAAGTGTAGGGAGAAGCCGAAGATGGAGTTTACCGTTTTAGGCTGAAGATCACGATTAGGATTCCTAGGTCGTGATCTAAGTTCACGAGCGAGTAAAGAAGTTCAGCCATGATCTGGAGTCGGGAAGATCAACCTGGGTCGTAGCCAGACTAGCGTGCATCAAAGAGGGACTGCGACTTGAAGATCACAGTCGCGAGAATAGAGAATATATCACGATCGCCAACATGAGGCCATGATCTTTTGGCTGTGTAGGAGTGAATTACAACGTAACAAGAATTCACAAGCTCTTCTTGAAGTTTCACGGCTAGTGAACTAGGACGCCCCATGTTTCATATATATATCAATTTTGAGAAGAAAGAGCTCGGGTTTTAAAATATTTCCAGCACAAAGAATAGAGAAAAAGAGCAAAGTGTTCCTTTGGAAGATGAGAGGAGCGAGGAGAAGAGGATGATCCTTCAACTTGGAGCCTTGGAGATGATTTTCCCCGGATTTGGAGTTGTCATGATGTTGATTTCCTCTTTATTCTCTTATGTTCTTCCTCTCCCTATCAAGAGATGATATTTTAGGTGTCTTGATTCAGACCTAATTGTACATGTTTTGCCCCCGTTTTACTTAGGTGTTTGTGGCAAATTCACTCTTAAAAGATTGGTTTTACGCTAGGTTTCTCGTGTTTTAGTGTGTTTCGGGGTTTAACAGGTGAAACCAGTCTCGGAGTAGAAAGTTGGACGAAAATGATCGAAAACCGGGAGAAGAGGTGAAAAAGGGCCAGTTCACGGCTATCCCAGGAAGTTCACGATCTTGCACGACCATGAAGAAGAGCCCTTGACCGTGAATCTCGAGGCGTCCAGAGCCAAAACAGAGGTTACTGACGCAAAGTGAGTTCACGGTCACTAAGACCATGAACGCAGGCTGTTGACCGTGAACATAAGTGAACGAAGCGGTGCGTTTTGGCGCACGCCTGCAGTTCACGGACGCGTTTCATGGTTCACGACCGTGAACTGAGCTCGTCTCTGGTTTAAAAGATGAGTTGAAAGGAGGAGAGAGGGGAGAGCCCATTTTGTGTGAAAAACCTTCTTCAGATTTCTAGAGAGCGAAACAAGAACCAAGGGAGAAGAAGGCTAGGGTTTTGCTTCAAGGTGGATTTTGGGAAGATTTCCTCCAAGGAAAGTTCAATACAAGGGCCAAGAAGATTGGGAGCATCTTCCAAGATGATTTCCTCTTCTTCTCCTTGTGTTTTTCTCATCTCTAGCATGTAGTAGATCTCCTTTCACTTGGGTGTTGTGAAACCCTAACTCTACCATGTAATTTCTTTTATGTGAATTGAATGATTGTCATTGGGTATTGGTTAGTTCAATGATTGAGGTATTATTCATGTTGTTTGTGCATGCTTGTGCTTAGCAACCTAAGGGTTGTGCATGTTTTGTGCTTAGCATCCTTAGGTTTGTGCATTTTGGTATTTAGCAACCTAAGGATTGTGCATAATTGTGCTTAGCACCCTTAGGTTTGTGCATGTTGGTGCTAGCAATCTAATTAGCCACCTTAACCTAGCTTAGAGAGGAAAATCCCCCTTCCAAGGGAGACTCAATTGAGTTGGTTTTCCTTCGGCTTTTTAAGCCACCTAACTAGGATAATTTAGGGCAACCCTCAATGTTGAATTAAGCAAATCAGTTAATCGCGATTAACCCGTCCGACCTTTGAGTTGAGTGAGGGAGTAAGTCAACTACCGATTGTCTAAACCGAGAGGGTCGAGTGACACTGCCTTTAATGTTTACCTCGATTTAGCAATTGAGATTGTGCTCTCCGACCATATATGCATCCCTCTGCGGTTCGCGATTACCTTGCCCAAAGCAATCGTTCACATATCATGGTAGTAGTTAGGGAGAAGCGACACGGAGTGATCCTTCCACAAAAGAGTTTTCACAACCATTTACTTTTGCCCTATTTTATTATAATTAGCAAACTTTTAAACCAAAACTTTGTTGCTAGATAATGATTAAAACAACTGAAGTAGGGGTGGACGGACCGGCCCGGGTTGATATCTAAATACTTGCTCTATACTGCACCCGACTAGAGTTTAAAAACTTGGACTGTAGTCAGGATTAGATTGTGGTGTAGTTTCGTACGAGTCATGCCTGGGGTAAGGACCCCTAACATAGCTGTAGATAATTATGAATTGTAATGGATTTATCTGTTGAATTTCTAGTATATTATGTTTCCTTGATTTATTGTAATGATTTTTCATGCCTTAATTGTGTGTGGATGATGATTTGGTACTTGGCCCATGAAGGTGACTATCCGATTGGGTCAACCTTAGACCTAAATCAAGTAGACCAATTAGCTAATCTACATGATAATCGAGTTACTTAGAGAGCTTGTCCTAATTACAAGAATTGTGTTTATCCCTAATCATTATGGTAGATTGCATGACCATTGAGTTGGCCACCGTAGTTAGGAGGACAAACTACGTGCATGATCATTGAGCCAATTGCCTATAAGATATTCTTGCACCATAAATACTATAAATGAAACAAGTAAAGCTCATTATCGATACATTCCAATGAGTTAGGTTATGGAGACAACTTTCCCAAGTACTCTCTCTGTCTCTCTTTAGATCTTAGTTTTATAGCAATTGTAAGTTAGTTGATAACTTCATCAATTGTTAGATTAGATAACAATTTAATCCTTTAAGTAGACATAATCTCTCCATCCTCTGTGGAATACGACCTTGGGAAATAGTCAACGCTATGTTGCAATATAAATTTAGGGTATACTTGTGCTAGATTGAGTTTACAAGTAAGAAGGTAGCAAGTTATTTTTTTATTACTTGAATCACTCACCTTGGCAAATCCCACCGCCTTCAATAGTCAAGTTTCTTTTGAGAGGTTGAGGAAAAGCTCGATTAGTCGATTTGCTGCAAACGCTGCAGTGTGCACAAAGGAATATGAGAAACGTTGGCCACTACCTACTACCGAGTTGATAAGAAGGGCCTACTCGATTTAGTCTGGACTCTCCCCTATTCTTTAGTTGGGCTTTCCGAAATGCTTGCTAGCTATATTTTGGGCCAGCAAAAGTACAAGGGCCCAAACAAAATACCCCAATCGTTCGCGCCGGTGTTTTTCCTTCGTAGTTTTTTTTAACTTCTTATTTCCTCGACTTTCAGCCGATTCTCTCGCTTGCTGGTGCTTCCTTGTGGCTGCTCCGCCGGACGTCCGAAGTAGCTCTTCGACGGCGCACGGTACTCCTTGTTCTTCAGTTACATGATTCTCCTTCTCCATTTCATAGTTTTAGTTCTTTTTTCGGCCGCCGCTACCTAGCTTCGTCTTGAGGCTTGAACTATCCTAGAGGTCTTGAAGAGGGTTTTATTTAGGGTTTCATGTTATGGTGTTTTGCGTTGTGTAAGGCTGGTTTTTTTTCTCCCTTTCGTTTATGAGCCGGTGGTTCGCAAGTCTCTACTCTAATTTGTGTGAGAAGGCATCACAAATTGTGATCATCAACTGCAAGAACGCAGATTTTCCTTCAAAATTACATTCTTCACTCTTCTATGGCACACTGAACCTCGTTAATCGAAAAACTTGGATTTCTGATTGTGCTTATCGAAAAACTTGCCCAGCTTTCATTTTCTTACTTGTATGCTCTATGTCCCTGCTTCCTACTATGATCCTTGTTCTCTTTTGTCCACAGTTTGAAGATAGATAGATTTTCTACAGAGAGGAACAGTAACAAACTCGGTCGAGATGGTAATGCTCTTGCTTGAAAGGAAAAAATGAAGTGTTTTTTTTTCTTCTTCTTCTTCTTTCTGTTGTCTAATTGTGTCGCATTTTCTCCAGTCCGGAAGGAAAGAGACGGTCTTGGATTTGGCAAAGTTTGTGGACAAAGGTGTTCAAGTCAAGCTCACTGGTGGTAGACAAGGTACTTTCATGGGCGACTCTGGAGCTTTTGTACCAATGCCTTTCATGCTTTACATCTGACACAGAGATTTATCCGAAAAAAGAAAGAAAGACAGTACACAATCATACATATTGACGCTTTTAGCAACTCTGGAGTTTTTGTGTAGCTAATGTTCTCATGATCCACATATGACACAGTATGATAAAAAGAAACATCTTACTCAGAAAGAAAGTACTTCTGTCATGCATATTGACTTTTATTAGTCATCTGCTTAATTGTACCGCATGAATCCTTTGGCTTTTAAGAGACGATCTCGCAAGAGATCAGTTTGCATCATTGGTAGATGTATACGATTTACTGATTTGTTTCTCTCTGGCTCAGTTACTGGGACACTAAAAGGCTACGATCAGTTGTTAAATCTCGTGCTGGATGAAGCTCGAGAGTTTCTACGAGGTAATCCCTTTCTGGTTTCTTATGTACTATCTCTGAATCTTTTCCTTATGTTTCTGATGGATTTTCTAGGTTACCTGGCCAGAACATTGTTGTCTTGTTCCCACATCAACATTATGGTGTCTGATGAAAACCAAGAAAAATGATAGTATGGTGAAAGTACCATAAGGGATTGACGATTTTTGCAATCTTTTTCATCCGTCTCTATGATTCATATTAATGTTCAGCACTTTCATCTTTTTTGAACATCATATATGCTTGATGCACAATAGTAGATACAGACAACACATAATGCCAGAAAAGCTTACTCTTGTTCATGAAATAGCGAAGGATGATAAAGGTGGAAAGCACATGATGCTAGAAAATCTCTTACTCCCATTTCATTAACTTGTTTTAAAGATGCATAGGAGTAAATATCCATCTGCATTCATGTTCTGTATTGATCAATGAAGTTTATAATGTCAGAGCATAGCAAACCTTTTAATTACGCAATCGTTTTCTTTATCTGCGATAAATGTCTAGTGATTTGAGTCTGAAGTTTCCATTTGTTAGTAAAATGCTCTTGTTTACTGTATAATTGAGGTTTCAGGGAACTGAAGCGGTGAGTGTTCTATTCAATCGTCATCCATGTAGATTGATGCTATCAATTTTCTCTTCTTTTGGAGCAAAGTCCCTGACTAATTGAACATTTATTTGCAGACCCTGAGGACCCAATGAAGACCACTGACCAAACTAGGCAACTTGGACTAATTGTATGCAGCTTTTATTATACTTCCCTTTATGACATCCCAGTCTGATCCTAAAAGCTTTCATTCAGTATTCCTCCCTATTTTGATTTGGTTTTGTATGATGTTAGTTGTTACTAACCTTGATGGCGTTTGCGGATGGTAGGTGTGCAGAGGAACTGCTGTAATGCTGGTATCACCCACCGACGGTACTGATGAGATTGCTAACCCTTTCGTCCAGCCAGATGGTGCATAGCTAGTTAGCTCAATCTCTGGTGCAGTCTAGATCCGTATGCTCAGCACCGTCTTCATCCTGGACTTAGATTTTCAATGTTTAGGAACTGCAGTCTTGGTATCCTCCAATGTTCGTGAATTTAATTTCATATGAAGTAATTTTGTCTTTGGTTTTCATGGACGAAAGGATATGGATGGTATGCTATTGTTGGACATGCAGCTTAAGATTCTGCTCTTTTCTTGGACAATTTTAGGTTCTATTGAAAGTTGGATTATTTGAATGTGTATATTATTAGAATGCCTGTATTTGAAATGTTCAATGACATTTTTGGTCATTCTATTATGTGATTTCAACGAACATACTCGTGGTATTATTTTGAAGTTTGAACCGACAAGGTCCTCTACTGTAGGGATAATTCCCTAAATACATATAAGAGTAAATAAATTCCTAAACTACCATATTTATAAAAAAAATTCTCAAAATACTTAAATTTGGAGTGGTTCGAGTTTGAGGAACTCGAACGACTAACCGGTTCGAGTATAGGAGACTCGATCTAGTCGTAGATCGATGATTTGTGCTCGGTTATCCGATCGAAGCAAACTTTTTTTTTTCATTTTGCATAACTTTTCGAGGACTACAACTTTTATAATAAAAATATTTTCAGAATATATTTGAAAATGTGAAAATTAAAGTTAAAGTTACTCACAAAACCCCTTATATTGAAAATTATTCGTATTTTGAAATTTTATTCCTAGTAAATGTTGTAGTACTCAAAAAATTATGCAAAGCAAAAAAAAAAAACTTTGTGACGTTCGGATTGCGGAGCACAAAGTTATGATCCTCCAAAGTTTTACAAATTATGAAATTTGCTCGTTTATGTGTAGCAAATGACGTTTTCACGAAAGATAGCCATCCAAAAATTTATCGTTTGGAAAAATATTGCTCTTTTGGCAGAAATTCCCTATATATAAAAAAAAATCTCGTGCCTTCGCCCCGAGAAAATGTCATTTGTTACCCCCTAAAACGAGCAATTTTTTTATTTTGCCAAACTTTAAAGGATCATAACTTTGTGTTCCGCAATCAGAACGTCGCAAAGTTTTTTTTATTTTGCATAATTTTTTGAGTACTACAACATTTACTAGGAATAAATTTTCAAAATAGGAATAATTTTTAATATAAGGGATTTTGGGAGTAACTTTAACTTTAATTTTCACATATATTCTGAAAATATTTCTATTATAAAAGTTGTATTCCTCGAAAAGTTATGCGAAATGAAAAAAAAATTTGCTACGATCGGATAACCGAGCACAAAGTTAAGGTTGTTGGAAATTTCAAAGGAGTGGTTCGAGTCCACTGAACTCGAACCACTTCAGCCTCATATGGTTCGAGGCTTATATCATCGATCTACGACTAGATCGAGTCTCCTACACTCGAACCGGTTAGTAGTTCGAGTTCCTCAAACTCGAACCACTCCAAACTTAAGTATTTTGGGAATTTTTTTTATAAGTGCGGTAGTTTAGGAATTTGCTTTACTTTTATGTGTATTTAGGGAATTATCCCTCTACTGTACCTCTTTCATCAACTTTGCTCTTCCGTGCAGCAAGGATATTCTCCGCAGGGCCAAATATTTTCACCCTTAAATAGGGATGACAATCAAACTCATGCTCATGGGTATCCGACACCTAGTTAACACTAAGAATCCCCGCTTTGACTGGGTATGAGGCGGATATGGATAAAACTCGCAAAATGTTTGATGGGTAAGGGGTGGGTATGGTTTTAGTCTTCCCGTCTCATATCCATACCTGCCCCACCAAGAATATTTGTTCACATAAAAAATACATGGATCAAATAGTAAGCTATCAATGATAGTGAGGGTAGCTCAACAAAATAATTAGTAAAAATGCAATTGAGTGACCACCTAAATGAAAACCTAATTCCTTTTCCTCAACTCTTCCTTCACTTGTTCACTTTTTCCTCATGTTAGCAAGATTATATTAGTTAATTATGGCTTAGTATATGTATTAGAGTAAGGGAATAATGATTTGGGTTACATTGTACTCTATTTTATGGATTAAGGGATGTTTTAGGATAAGATGCTTTGAACCATATTAAGAATCATTGTACTTTGTTGACTTCATGATATAATAGGTGCGCTTAATGTTATAATTGAAAATTTACATATAAAATTTTAGGTGTTATAATGTTGGATGTACGGGCGGGTATTACCCATGGGTAATCGAAACCCACGAGTATGGGGATGGGTTTGCAAAATCTTCCCCGCATGGATATGAGGGAGGTATGAGTTTAAATATTTAACAACGGAAATGAGAATGGTTTAGACAAACCCGCTCATTACCATTAGTTGGGTTCTTTAATGTGTATATTATTATTTTCTTAGAAATATGGACAACTGGCTACCTAATTCATAATATTAACAATACGAGAGGTGGAAGTTTCCATTACATCATACAAAAGCTACTATTCAAGTTGGAGGGTATTTGGAGGAGAAGTTGTTGGATCGGCTGCAAGGGTGGAAGCGTAGAACGCTGTCCTGGGCGGCGAAAGAAACCTTGATCAAATCGGTTGCGCTGGCTCTCCCGCTCCATGTCATGTCTTGCTTTAAGATCCCTCTCTCTTTATGCCGGCTATTGGATAAGCACGTGGCTAGGTTTTGGTGGGGCGTGGAAGATGGCCAACCAAAAATTCGATGGATGTCATGGAGGAATATGTGCCGTAGTAAACATGAGGGGGGGATGGGGTTCAGAAGGTTTGAGCAGTTTAATCAAGCTTTGCTTGCCAAGATAGGGTGGCGGATCCTTAATGAACCCCAGTCCCTGATTGCCCAGGTATACAAAGGGAAGTACTTTCCAATCGGGTCGTTCCTGTCAGCTAAGGCGAGATCGCGTCCGTCTTGGGGGTGGCAAAGCATTTTATATGGGAGGGAATTGCTGGTAAAGGGTGCCCGATGGCAGATTGGCAATGGTAGGACTGCTCCGTTGTTAGACTCGAATTGGGTCCCCCAACTCCATCCGCAAGTTCCGGTGCATAACCCCCAGGTGCTCCCGGCTGGTCAGATGTTAACAGTGAAGGAAGTGATTTGTCAGGCGGAGGGGCGGTGGTGTGACCAGAAGCTTAGCCAATGGTTCGACCCAGCGACGTGTCAGGCTATTAAGGCTATCCCTCTCCCTCGGCAAGAGGTGGAGGATCGTCTGATATGGCATGGGACGTCGGATGGGGTTTTCTCTGTCAAATCGGCCTATCATTTTGCTGTTCTTCTTGATCAGCAAGAAGGTCGGTGGCAGGCCATGGCAAGTTGGATGGATAGGGCTAGTTGGATTCGTTTATGGTCCACTAATATTCCGCCCAAGCTGAAGGTGTTTATCTGGAAAATTTTTAATCGGGTCCTTCCGACAACAGAGGCCCTTTTGGAGAAAGAGGTGGGGGTCCTTCCTCGGTGTCCGGTCTGTTGGGCAGATAAGGAGTCAATGGAGCATTTTTTTTGGATCTGCTCGGTGGCTAGGGCCCTTTGGGACCACTCGAGTCTTGATGAGTTAGGCCAGGGGTTGCCGCGCCATTCTTTTCCTTTCTTTCTCAAAAAGTTGATGGCGATTGTTTCCCCGCTCCAGTGGTGGGCGGTGGTGGCCCTCTTGTGGAGAATCTGGTGTTCAAGGAATTGGGTGGTGTTTGAGGCGAAGCAGTTCGGGATAAAGGCCCTCATGCGCTAGTATTATCAGCAGTATCAAGAGTGGGCCCACCTTCCCATGGATCAGGGAGTTCGGCGGGATGAAGCTCCAACGCCGCCAAATTCTGGAGCGGTAGATAATAGGATGGTGTGCATATGGGATGGTGCCACGAAGCGTGGGTCGCACTCGGCAGGCGGCATGGTTCTCATGGACCAGGAGGGCCGCACCAGTATAGCTATGGGGACTCAGTATCCGGTGATGGACGATCCTATGGTGGTGGAGTTACTAGTGCTCCGGGAGGCGATCCTTTGGTGCTTAAGTATGGGGCTCTCAGAAATTCGTTTTAAAGGGGATGCTAAGGTGGTGATTGACAAGATTCTTCAAGAAGATACCAGGGATAGCCGAGTGGGTGCGATTCTGGAGGAGGTTATAGGTTACCTTTCGGTGCATCGTGGCTTCAGTGTGCGATTTGTAGGTCGTAGGAACAATCGGGTGGCCTATAGGGTGGCCAGGAAAGCCCTTTTATTGTATCCGGCTGTAAGTCGTGGTTTTGATTTCAATGGCTGGCTTCGGGCTAGTATGTAACTATCAAGTTTATCAATATATCTGATTATCTTTTGTATAAAAAAAAACTACTATTCAAGTTGAGGGTTGCGTACATTGAACTGATCTGTGCCAAAAGCAATTTCGAAAGTTACGTATGAACATACTGAGCATTTTGAAATTTTTGTATAAATGATGTTTGCGTGCAAAAATACAACACAAAATTGAGTAGTAGTCCAGTAGATGAAAAGTTTCCTTAGTTTGCCTAGGTCAAGAATTCGACACTTGTTGCAATATTTTTGTTTAATTTTTTAGTTAAGTCCCTATTAAATCGTTTTCTTTTAAAGATGTATGTATTTTATCATATTAAACAGTTCTCTTTTCAAAATGAAGTTCAAAAGTTCTAATTTATATTTTTTAAACTCAAGTAATTCAATTCAAATCACATTAATTAAGTTTTTCAAATTACAAATTGTGAGAATACATTTGGGAAGATAATGAATAAATATTTCTTTCAAATAATAATATTAAATGGTATTTATTTTTCAATTGTTAAAATAGATGAATTAAATATTAATATTGAAATGTATTATTAATTTGTTTTTTTTTTCTAATATTATCTTAAACATGCCATGGTATTAGTTTATATCTTATTTTAATTAATTTTAACAACTTTACGCAGTTATAGAGTATGAAATCGGACCCTCCTTCGACGGCCAAATCCTGACTCCGCCCCTGATCAATGACTCTAATATCCTTTATTTAGCTTTTGTCTTTCAAAACATATAAACAATAAACAAACACATACAACTATACCAAATACCATATTCAAACTCGACAAAAAAAAACATATTAAAAATAACAAATTACAAATACAATAAAAAAACAGATTCAATGAAAAGAACAAAATACAATAATTTTTTTTACAAATGAGCTTTGTCTTCTCCGTGGGGGAGTATGGCGTCGTTCTTATCAGCTTTGGGAAATAGTTGGGTTCATTCTGGTGAAGTTGTTGCATTCTTGATAGCTCTGGCTAAAACTTCCAGTATTTGGATTATCCGTCATTTAGTTGAGGCGAGATTGGAAGAGATTTGTGAAGTGCAATCATTCTTCCTTTGAATCAAGGCTAAAAACAACCACGAATCTCATTAGAGTCGTAGCTATTGAGAAAGTCCACACATGGCTAACTCTGAAAACACGGCACTTCAACAACTCAAACGGAACTTTCCACCAGACAAACTGGCTGCTTCTTCGACCTAATGGATATTTAATTTAAATAAAAATGGTTAGAAATATTCGTTATTTTCATTAAAAGATAAAGAAATTAATTATAATACGATAAAATGTAGTTAAATTATTGGAGAAATTGAAATTTTCACTTATTTATAGCTAAAATATGAGGTAATAAAGAATTTTAAGTAATCTGACTAAAATTACATGTAATTTAGGCAACAATGGATAAAAAATGTTGCCGGTCAAGACATGTCGGATCGATGAGAGGTTACTGGTAGCATTTGGTTAATTTGGTTTGGTTAATTTGGATAATTGGTTTGGTTTGGTTAAAGAATTTAGCTTATTTGGTTTAGGTGGTTTGGTTTGGTTTCAACACTGCTAACCAATGAAACCAATTAACCAATTAATGATACACCTAATATACAAAATTATTTATACTTTCATGTAACCAACCAAACCAAACTTTCGTGATTCCCTATTTTATTTACATGTGCACAACAAACCAAAACATTATGACCCAAAAATTAAATGGGTCTGCCTATATTTACTAAACCAAAATATTTTGGACAATTACTAGACTTTAGGATTACGTACTATACCATGACAACCACCTCAAACTAAGTAGAGTTTAAAATTTCTGATGAGGGGTATTGGTATGTATTTATGTTAAGGGATTTGTTGTAAGCTACCTATATTAATTATTAGGTGCAGAGATGACGAATTATGTATTAACTCGAATGATGATGATAATTATGGATGGTTAGTCTTATTAGTATTGCTTATATAAAATAATAGTTTATGTTTGTTTTCATGTAATGTTATGTTATTTGGTTAATCCGATTATCCGATTAACCAAACCAATTAAATTTGGTTTGGTTAATTTGGTTTTCGTGTTAATTTGGACGGTTTGGTTAGGACATTTTATTCCATGGTTAATGAAATTTAGACTTAATTGATTTGGTTATTACCACGGTAACCATTTGAACACCCCTACCTACGGAGCAGGTCGAACCCCACCCCCAAAACAAGACAAACAAATCGAATAAAATGGTTCAGGTCAAAATTGTCATCACTAACCATATTCATCTTTCATTTGCACTCTTTTCTTTCTCCATTCTTTCTTTCTATGCATCTCTCCCAATCTCAGTCGCATCCATTCTATTTGAAATCACAAATCCAATTGCTCCAATCTCGTACCACAAGTGAAGGAAACAAAAGAAACGTTGCCGGCAGGGAATTCGAGAGATCGAAGATTGGGCTTACAACGAAGATTGATTGTCGGTTCACACATACCTCTGACTCTGATGGCCGCTCGACGTCGGTGGCTAGGGTTGGGAGAAAGATTAAGAGGACAATGGGCTGCACGAGTCTATTAATCTGGTTAATTTCTTGGATTTTCATTTTTCTCTCGTTTACTTTATTTATGTAGGGTTAATGATTGAACAACCAAGCTGAAACTTAAATCACTTCCAATGCAATTAACCTTGTTATATGTATACATTATAAAATGGTTCAAACTAGTTGGACCTTGATTGGACCATTAAATTTCATTCTAATGAAAAACCGGGTTGACACCTTGGGAAAGAGAGTGATGAGTGTAAGGTGGAGGAAAATTGGGGACAAGCCGCAGAACGGTTGTTTTAGGGGTTTCTTTAGATTATATATAGTATGTAAAATTATAAAATGATACTTTAAATTATTAATTATCTAATTTTAAATTGTTACGTATATATCTTTATTACATTAATAAAATAACTCAAATAAGTTGTACTCTGATTGGACCATTCAACCTCAAATTATCTGGTTGACTTAATAAAATAACTCAAATAAGTTGTACTCTGATTGGACCATTCAACCTCAAATTATCTGGTTGACCGGCTCAATGGCTGAGACTCGGCCTATCAGGAATGTCAAATAGCATTTTACACGAAGAACTTCTAATTAGGGTAAATTTAAAGTTTGGTCACTAGGTTTAACCAAACATGTTATGTTTAGTCAGTGAAAAAAAATTAATATTAATTTTGGTCTCTAATATTAGTTTAACAATCCAAGTTCGATCACTTTCCTAATCAGTCGGATTTAACACAAAAAATACTAAACTCGAACATCATCAAGACTTGCTGCGTCATCTCAACCCTCTTACAAAGTAACAGTCCAAGTTTGGTCAACACTTAACGGACTCCATTAACGGAGTTGAACGGAGAACGGAGAGTGACCAAACTTGTACCGTTAAACTAATCTTAGTGACCAAAATTGATATTAATTTTTCCCAATGACCAAACATGACACGTTTAGTAAACCAGTAACCAAACTTGGAATTTACTCCTAATCAAAGTTGCACATTTGAGGGCACATTTGAGAACTTCTAACCAATTATTTTTCTAGTCAAGACACTAGTATAACTGTGTAAGTACTACTTGAGAAAGGAAAGGGAATGCAGACTGTGCAAGAAAAGAACAACGGATGACAAAAAGAACAGACAGCAACAGCATGTGCATGTTTTTCGCAACATGTTCCCAACTTAAGCGTCAACCCAAATAGCAATACTTGCAATTATTGTGTCAAACCCTTTCTGCCATTAGTAACTGTTCAAGTTCCTCTCTTCTCCTCTCCAAATCCTGCAACCATTGCCACACAAGTTACGTCGATGAAACTGACAATCAAGCAAAAGATTTTCTGGAGAAAATAATGGCTGGTAACTGCGCTTGGCAGCTTACCTCCAAATCTTTGGCTGCCTGTTCCCTCGTTTGTTCCCTCGTTAGTTCCCTCTGCTGCCGAACACGTTTGAGCAAGCCAATACAAAGAATTCCCTGCATATTGACATCAAAATCAAGGCACAGTAAGTGTACTTTAAAATTTCCAATAAACAGGAACACATAAAGAGATACCAGCGATTTCAAATTCTGAAAGTAGATGTGGTAAGAATCTTTAGGACAGCAAAATTCAGAATAGCCAACTTGTTCCTGTAACTGATAATAAAGTTAAGGGAAGTCTCCGCTTGAATGGTGAAAGGTTGTCTTGGAAGATATGTACTCGCTGAAGAAATGTAGAGGAGAAGCTGTTCACAGAAGACCAGCTTCATGGTGAAAGGTTGTCTTGAAAGATATGAAGTACTTATCTTTAAGGAATTGAAAACTCGCAAGGACTTAAGATCGAAATTCAAGTGGACGACAATAATTTCCATATTTTCACAAGTGCCCCTACTCTGCTTTGTAAACCACAGAAGTAAGATTCGCCACCTTGCAGGGCCTTTGCAACTTCAATAACACCAGGTCATAAACATCATCGTAGATGTACGTGGAGACTTAAAAAAATTGTGAAAGCAAATCTCTGTCAACATTAGCCAATTGCTTCCAGCATAGGCTAAGTTGGAAAAGATTTGTTCTGGCATTATCCTAAACTAAGAAAAGGCAAGGTGTGATTCATCAGCTGGCTAATCCAAAAGGTTTAGATTTTTAGCATCTTACCGAAACAAGATAGACTGCACCACAACCAATGAGAATGTAGCTTGCTATATTTTGAAGAAGAATAAGCTCCGTGGGGTTCCGATGGTTAGGAAAAGCCCTCGTCATAACTGCAACACTGAAGACGAAACCAAAGTGCGTCAACTGTAAAACTGTAAACAAGAACGGGAAAAATTTACTCAAATTCTATTACTTTAGTTTTTAATGCGTTTCTTAGTCGGACATGAGACATACAAGATTTGCAGCATGCCCCTGCCTGCCCAATACTCTAGGACCTATAAGAACACAGCAAACAGTGAGACGGTATTATAAATGTGAAACTCCCAGAACAGATAACTCCTATTATCTCTTAACTAATTTTACATGGACCAACAGTAGTAAGAAAAACTATCACACTAACAGGTAATTTGTTTCTAGTGGATCCATTCATTCACGAATAATGGTCTCCAATAATGTGGCATAAAATAAGGTTGTTAGGAAACTAGAGATGCATGAAGGGAGGTGATCATGAGCAAATGCGACAACAAACACCAGAAAAGCCAGATGAAAGCCTTTTAGCAGCTCCGAACTGACCGTAGTGTACTGTACTGTACTATCTCCCTGAGGAGAAGGTGATACAGAAGTTGCTATGCTAGTTAGGTCGAACGCTTATTCTGCGATGATCACTTACGACACGAACAGAACCAAAAGAAAGACTAATTTTTTCTGCTAACGAGCCAAAGCTGGAAAACCGCTTACGTTACCCAATCTAGAAGCTATGGAAGAGGCCTGAAGCTTTCAAAGACAAGAAAACCATACACTGATATTCTTTGTTGGGATGCTAGCTTCATCCACGCTGCAGATTCTTACAATTTTGCACAAAGATTTTGATAGGCCTTTCACTTCTAAGTTCTAACTTCCTCACAATGCCATTTGCCACTATCAGCTGTGCTAGTTCCCAAAGTCCAAAGAACAGTGCAATCTACCCTAAAACCATGACACCCATACTTGCAAGAATGCAGACAAATAATGACGGGAAGACATTTTGATGAGCGAAACAGATACATGGATTGAAAAAAGAAAGCAGTGGCAAAGGAAGCACAGGAAGAAAGAAAAACGAAACCTTCCAGAACTTGAAAATGAATCCCCATTCCGTCTCCGCTAAGATCACGACAAACGCAATTACCACCGCGTAACACCTGAAGATTCCATCGAATATCTACAAACGCAAGAAAATTAGGAAAGAAAAAGAAGAGACAGTCACAGCTGCACCAATCAAGACCAGCAGCCAGTATTTCTGTAGATCGGCTGGTCACCAAACGTTCACGATGCAGTAGTTTTCAGCAACTTACATCGGATCCGTCCTTAAAGGAGCGAACGGCGGAGAGAATGTTGACAGCGACGCACAGAAGGGCGGTTACAGCAGTAACGAAGCTAAAGCATCTACACACCACCAAGAACGGGTCCGGTCGAGAACTCAGCCGGCCGCTGGACGAAAGTCGAGGCACCGCCGCATTCTCTCCTCCGCTTCCACCTTCTCCTCCGTCTTCATTTCTCGCCATCTCAGAAGCCGATTTCTTACCCTGTCATTTTTCTTTTTGATTTATGGGCTGGGCTGCTAGGAAATTAGAAAGAAGTGTTGGAAGTTCGCAGTTTTTGTTTGGGTGGTGGGGAAGCGTAGGATGCTAACATTAGATCCAGCCGACATAAATATTTCGTTTTATGACTCGGGTTTGTCTGTGATTATGTGAATTCATAAAAGGAAGCACAAACAGTTTTTAATGTCATTGTTAGAAAACGAGACACACATGCGTGTGTTGTGGATTAATTCTCTAATATTATGTAAATATTTATATATGGATGACCAATGGCCTACTACATTTAGGGGTGTCCATTCGGGTTCGGTTTTTCGAGTGTACCCGAAATCGACCCGATTATATACATTTTTAGTTTTTCGGGTTTTTGGTTTTTCAGTTTCGTGTTCGGTTTTGCTTATCGATTTTTCGGGTTCCGGCTAAAAACCTCCAATGAATAGAACTCAACCCGTATTCTTAGGCGTTCGGGTTTTTGGGTTTTGGTTTTGCTTTAACCGAACCAAACTCGATAAGGAATTTTCGGGTTTCGGGTAACCGGAACCCACAAGTCCTTATCGGGTTCGGGTTCGATTTCAGTGATTTTCGGTTTCGGGTTTTCGGGTTTTTTCGAGTTTCGAACTGACACCCCTAACCACATTAGATGCTCATTTGAGAGTTACATACATGTAACTCCTATTCCTATATCATTATCTCTAATCCATACTAGCTTTTTATACGGCCCGTTGGCCGGAGAGATTTATTTTATAATTTATATTAATTAACTTATTTATATGTTTAAATCATTTTGGATCTTCTAAATATTTTTTGTTCTTGATTCATAAAAGTGTTTGTAGTATGTCTATATTGAAAATTTCCAATATTTAGCACACTCACTTCTGTTGCTTCAGTTTCCTAATCATAAATTATGTCGCTATCACGTCCCATTTATAACTTATGTCAAAATTTGTCAATCAAAACACTAATATTTAGCATACGCCAACATGAACCACACACACACACTACCATACGACCATTGAGTTTTACTATTTAGACTCCGAAGTTTTTGGGGGCATGATACTATACCCTAACCTCTAATAGGGGGCTAAGATCAGGTGACTAAGGGGGGTCCCTTAGTCACATGACTAAGTCAATCTTCACCCTTGCACCTCATTAAAATCCAATGACCCATATTAATCCAATTTAATAAAGGACAATATAGTAATTGCATGATTATTTAATTTATTAATTTAGATAATAAACAAAAAAACAATTTGGTCGCTGCTGGCTTCCGCGTTTCCCCGGCCGGAAAAATTTACCGCCGGCTTTTATTTCTTTTCCTCGTCTCCTCTGCTGTCCATTCATTTATTTTGGGCAGGAGACATGGGAAGAATTGTCCCAGGTGAACGAAAGAGAGAGAGAGATTTTGTACTGTTAGTATGCTTAGTATTGTTTGTCGATTTATTTTGTAATGTTTGTACGCTTTGTTATTTTGTAATGTTTGTCGGGTTTTTTGGTAATGTTTGTAAACTTTGTTATTTTTGTGTACCGTATTTATCATTTTTGTCAACCATGTTTGTAATGTTTTTTATGTCTAAAAAACAACCTAGTTGACTTTTGGATGAAACTCCTCTATATAGGATGGAGCCTCCAAAGTCAACCCGGGTGTTTTTTCCAGTTCGTATGGATTGTCGGTCTAGTTTGTCATTTTTGTCCACCATGTTCGTAATGTTTGTATGTCTAAAAAACAACCGGGTTGACTTTGAGACGGAGCCCTCTATATAGGGATGAAGCATCCAAAGTAAACCCGGGTGTTTTTCTAGTTTGTATGAATTTTTGGTCTAGTTTGTCATTTTTGTCCACCATGTTTGTATGTCTAAAAAACACCCGGGTTGACTTTGGGAAGGAGCCCCTCTATATAGGGATGGAGCCTCCAAAGTCAACCCGGTTGTTTTTTCTTTTTGTATGGTTTGTATTGTTTGTACAGTTCATACGTTTGTAATGTTTGTAAATCTGTTTGTATGTTTTGTCGCTCTAGTTTGTACTGTTCGTATGTTTGTATGGTTTGTACTGATTGTAAATCCAGATTGTATACTTCGTAATTTTCCATAATACCCAAACTACCCCTGTCATTAATTAAATAGTCCTTCCCACTTTTTAACCATTGGATTGAAGTGTCCAGATCTAATGGCTAGGAGGGGCTTAGTCAAGTGACTAAGGACCCCCCCTTAGTCATGGGATCCACTCTCTCTAATAGGTGAACTCTAATCCCTAATTCTCTAACCTCTAATTTATGCACATTTGAAATTTCACTTTCTTTGTCATTTTTCTTGAGTGTGTTTTTCCTATTAATGTGTTAGTTTAATATAATTTCTCTTTATAATCCTTATGTGGTTTAATTTCATCTATTATAATCATGTCATTATTTTTATATTTATTTGGAGATATTTTCTTAATTAATTTACTTTCTATCTTTTGTGAAGAATGAATATTTCCATGCTTAGCACCAAGATAAAAAAACCCTGATGTGTGTCTTATCGATAGTGCATCGACACATACAATCCTGAAGGATAAGAAATATTTTTCTCATCTTGAAATGCGAGAAGCAAATGTTAGTACTATATCTGGAAGTACAAATTTAATTGAAGGCTCCGGAAGAGCTAGTGTATTGTTACTAGAAGGAACCAAGTTATATATCAATGAAGCCTTATACTCTTCAAAGTCTCAAAGAAATTTATTGAGTTACAAAGATATTCGCCGAAATGGATATCATATTGAGACAAAGGAAGAAGAGAATAAAGAGTATATTATGATAACAAATATGGTCTCCGATAAGAAATACATATTGGAGAAATTGCCTGCTATTTCTTCTGGGTTGTACTACACGTTTATTAGTACAATTGAAACACATGCAGTGGTAAACCATAAGTTTACAAATCTTGATAATTTTATAGTTTGGCATGACCGGTTAGGCCATCCCGAATTGATTATGATGCAAAAAATCATTGCCAATACACATGGACATCCATTGAAAGGTCACAAAATTTATCAGTTTAAAGATGTACCATGTGTTGCATGTTCTCGTGGCAAGTTGATTATACGACCATCACCTGTGAAAGTAAGGAGTGAAACTCTTACATTTTTAGAACGTATACATGGTGATATATGCGAGCCAATTCACCCACCATGTTGACCATTTAGATATTTTATGGTTTTAGTTGATGCATCAACTAGATGGTCACATGTGTGCTTACTATCAACTCGCAACCTGGCGTTTGCTAGATTACTTGCCCAATTGATACGACTACGAGCACATTTTCCTGATTTTCCAATCAAGAAACTACGTCTAGATAATGCTGGTGAATTTATTTCACAAACTTTCATTGACTATTGTATGTCCACTGGGATTGATGTTAAACATCCTGTAGCACATGTTCATACACAAAATGGCCTTGCAGAATCATTTATTAAGCGTTTGCAACTTATTGCAAGACCATTGCTTATGAAAACAAGCTTGCCAATTTCTTGTTGGGGACATGCTATATTGCATGCGGCAACATTAATTCGCATAAGGCCAACAAGTTATCATGAAATTTCCCCCTTGCAAATGGTTTTTGGTCAGGAACCTAATATTTCCTATCTAAAAATATTTGGGTGTGTCGTCTACATCCCTATTGCTCCACCACAGCGTGTTAAGATGGGTTCTCAAAGGAGGTTGGGAATTTATGTTGGATATGAGTCCCCGTCAATCATAAAATACTTAGAACCCTTGACCGGAGATTTATTCACTGCTCGTTTTGCTTATTGTCATTTTGACGAATCAGTTTTTCCAACATTAGGAGGTGACAACAAACAGCTAGGAAAATATATTTGTTGGAATGAATTATCATTATCTCACCTTGATCCTCGTACTAGATAATGTGAATTGAAAGTTCAAAAGATAATTCATTTACAAGGTTTAGCAAACCAACTGCCGGATTCTTTTACTGACCAGAAGAGAGTGACAAAGTCACACATGCCAGCTGTAGATGCTCCAGTGAAAGTTGATGTCCCTATTGGACAATCTGAAATTGAAAATGAATCTAAACCACGAATGAAGCATGGTAGACCAGTAGGTTCCAATGATACAAATCCTTGAAAAAGAAAAATTGTTATGAATCAAGTTGGTCAAATCGAGGATCTGAAAGCTCAAGAAGAGTCCCCAAGCATAACTAAGATTGTAGTTCCCGAAGAACATCAGGTACCTGAAAGTTTTGATAATGAAGATATCTCAATCAATTATGTCTTGGATGGAAAATGTTGGAACCGAAGTGAAATAATCGTCGACGATGTTTTTGCTCACGCTGCAGCATTGAGTGTGATGAATGAAAATGAGGATCATGAACCAAGATCTATTGATGAATGCAAGTCAAGAGATGATTGGACAAAGTGGAAAGAGGCCATTGAGGCGGAATTAAACTCGCTTTCAAAGCGAAAGGTTTTTGGACCGGTAGTCCTTACACCAGAAAACGTAAAGCATTGGGATACAAATGGGTTTTTGTGCGGAAAAGAAATGAAAAGGGCGAAGTCGTGAGATATAAAGAACGTCTTGTCACACAAGGATTCTCACAGACACCTGACATTGGTTATGAGGAGACATATTCTCTTGTGGTGGATGTAACTACGTTTCGATACTTGATTAGTCTGGCAGTTCGAGAAGAACTAGATCTGCGTCTAATGGATGTTGTGACAACCTATTTGTATGGATCACTTGAGAATGATATATATATATATATGAAACTCCCTGAAGGATTCACTTTGCTAGAAGCAAACAAAAAACATTCTCGAGAAAATTTTCTATCAAATTGAACAAATCCTTGTATGTATTGAAACAATCTGGACGAATGTGTTACAATTGTATCACTGAATATTTGATGAAATTCTTCAAAAAAAAAAAGAATATTTGATGAAAGAAGGATACAAGAATGGCCCTATTTGTCCATGTGTTTTTCTAAAGAGATCGGGTAGTGAGTTTGTTATAATATCGGTTTATGTTGATGACATAAACATCATTCGAACTCCCGAAGAGCTTCCAAAAGCAGTTGATTGCTTGAAGAAAGAGTTTGAAATGAAAGATTTAGGAAGAACAAAGTTCTATCTTGGATTACAGATTGCACATTTGAAGGATAGTATTTTTGTGCATCAAGAAGGATATGTTGAAAAGGTGCTTAAGCGATTTTATGTGGACAATTCACACCCGTTGAGTAATCTAATGGTTGTAAGATCACTTGATGTGAAAAGAGATCCATTTAGACCTCGAGAAAGTGATGAAGATCTGCTTGGCCCTGAAGTGCCATATCTTAGTGCGATAGGAGCATTAATGTATCTAGCCAGTCACACGCGGCCCGATATATCGTTTTCTATGAATATATTTTCAAGATATAGCTCTTATCCCACTAAAAGGCATTGGAATGGAGTTAAACATTTACTCTGTTACCTTCGAGGAACGACGGATATGGGCTTGTTCTATTTGAGTGCATCGAAGTTGGATTTAGTGGGATATGCAGATGCAGGATATCTCTCAGATCCCCACAATGGATCTCAGACAAGATATTTGTTCTCTTGTGGTGGTACAACCATTTCATGGCGTTCCACAAAACAAACTATAACAGCCACATCATCCAATCATGCTGAAATCTTAGCAATTCACGAGGCAAGTCGTGAATGTGTTTGGTTAAGATCTATAATTCGACACATCAGAGAATCGTGTGGACTATCTCTAGGAAAAATGATCCCGACGATCATGTATGAAGATAATGCAACATGCGTTACTCAATTAAAGGAAGGATACATTAAAGGAGATAGAACAAAACATATTCCACCAAAGTTCTTTTTCACTCATGATCTTCAATAGAGTGGTGACATAATTGTTCAAAAAGTTCGTTCAAGTGAGAATCTAGCAGATTTATTCACCAAGTCACTCCCATGACAATCTTTGTAAAGCTTGTTCGTGAAATTGGAGTTCGACGAATCAAAGACCTTAGCTGATGTGGTCATGAGGGAGAGCATATACGCGATGCACTCTTTTTCCCTTAACCATGGTTTTTCCCACTGGGTTTTCATGGTAAGGTTTTTAATGAGGCAGCATGAGATAGCGTAATAATGCAATCTAGTGGTCATCCAAGGGGGAGTATTATGTAAATATTTATATATGGATGACCAATGGCCTACCACATTAGATGCTCACTTGGGAGTTACATGTAACTTCTATTCCTATATCATTATCTTTAATTCATATGCATTGATGTAAGGATGTAGTGGTTACCAAAGGGTGCTTATAAATAGAGCACACTATTGTATCACAAATGAAGTATGAATAAGAACTATTCCCCTCTCTTCTCTTGTGTCTTTCCCTCTCTAATCTTCTCTTGTAGTTGTTTATATTTTCCATTAGTTTCATAAAATCTAATTCATTTTTGTCAAGAACCAGTTGCTCCCAATAACTCGAATTGTTGGGAGAGGTTCAATTGTGGATCATATACCACACACTAACACGCCCCTCAAACGAAAGCCACTCACAAGGGCTTGAAGTTTGCACAGGTCCGAATACCATGTGCTCTGATACCATGTCAAGAACCAGTTGATCCCAATAACTCGAGTTGTTGGGAGAGGTTCAATCGTGGATCATATACCACAACACTAACACACCCCCTCAAACGAAATCAACTCATAAGGGCTTGAAGTTTGCACATGTATGAAGACAAGAATACCATGTGCTTAACAAATGGGGGTCACCGGGAATCGAACACAAGACCTCTCGGTCACAGAAGGCTTTAATACCATGTCAAGAACCAGTTGATCCCAATAACTCGAGTTGTTGGGAGAGGTTCAATCGTGGATCATATACCACAACACTAACACGCCCCCTCAAACGAAAGCCACTCATAAGGGCTTGAAGTTTGCACAGGTCTGAAGACAAGAATACCATGTGCTCAACAAATGGGGGTCATCGGGAATCAAACACAAGACCTCTCGGTCACAGAAGGCTCTGATACCATGTCAAGAACCAGTTGCTCCCAATAACTCGAGTTGTTGGGAGAGGTTCAATCGTGGATCGTATACCACACACTAACAATTTTTACTCTATTTTATACTTCGGAAAGTTATTTACAAGTCTTGAATCTTAATTAAAGAAAACAATACCCTCTTAAATATACTGCTTAGAGGGACTCTATCTTCAAATAAGTCATAATATCAAGAAGTTTGCACTAAACTCCCTCTATAGGTAAGATTCTCACTCAATACAAAGCAATGAATCGACTCACTCTCGTGCAATTGATGTCCTACTTTCCAATCAATGATGCTCTATTAACCTAACCAAATATTCTCTCTCCAATGGTAAAGATGGCATTGCAAGAACGTGATAAGGGCTCAAACAATTCAATAACTATACACAAATTGGATATAAACTATGTGTTTAAACAAATCAAAGTATCATACATTCATCTATTCAACAATCAAGACTAGGGTTTCTCATACCCAAGCAATAAGAGGGATTAGTTCCTGAAGGATGAGAGAACAAACACAGCAGGAGGAGCAGGGGGAGGAGGAGGAGGAGGAGGAGGAGGAGGAGGAGGAGAAGAAGAAGAAGAATTTAGCTCCACGGTAGAATCTTTAATTGATCGCTCTCAAGCTACTCCTATGGTGTTCAATTGCTGGAAAACACTCTTTCTATTCTCTCTATCTCAATTTTTAGGTTATGGTCGAGTTTGGTCGTCCCCCTTCAAAAAAACCTTAAATCGGCTTAAATAGAAAAACCTGAAGTGCGCGAACACGGCCAGAGGCACGGCTATGCTCCAGGCCATGTCTGACTCGACATATTTATTCTTTCTTTGACTTGTAAATTGCACTTCACATGTCGAGCACGCCCAACAACACAGTCGTGCCCTAGGCCTTGTTGGGCTCCTAAAATATCTTCAAATCACATCAAAATGCTTTTCAAATTGTCTCGAACTCCATTACTACCATTGTTAGTGCGTCTTTTGCCCAAATATCATCAAATTCACTCAAGGTAACACGAAACACACTAAAACCACAAACCAAACATAAAACGAGCAAAAACATATAAATCTCATCGAAATGATAGCCCAAACAACATCAAATGGGGAGTAAAAACATGTCTAATTTACGGTGTATTAAATACCCCCACACTTAAGTGTTCTCTTGTTTCCAAGCAAGTCAAACTCAAAATCATACAACTCGCTAGAACCTTACGAGAGTACGTCACTTTCAATCGTCGGTAGTGGGTAATAGTAACTTACGAGATAATCAAAGAAAAGAAAACTCAAATTATCCCAGTAAGGACATTGCCCTCGAATCGGTACAACACAAAATAGTAAATCTAGGATAGAAGACTTGTGAATGAGAGACTCGTAGAGAAATAAAAGAGTGGACTCGTTTATTATTCTTCTTCTTTAAAGGCTCAAACTTTCGAGCTTCTTAGTATTTGTCTTTGTTTCTCAAAATTTTCTTGCAAAGAGTAAGGGATCTTTCAATCCTTATTATCTCGCAGCTAGATCAGAAGTAAAAATCACTTATCTTTCAAACCCATGCGGGGAAGCGATGTAGAGAGAGGTGTCGGAAGCTTTATCGGTGTCTTTTAAACACAATTCCCAAAGATGCACTCATATCCTTAATGAAGAACTTTGGTGGTCGGCCTAAGTTTTGATATGTTGCCACGTCATGTGAGATATATATAGATTGCAGTCTCGTGACTTGAGTACAATAAATCGTCTCTTCTCTATCAAGATCATGCGGAGGAGCGGTGTAAGGAAAAGTGTCTTAAATTTTATCCTTGCCTCCCAGACACAATCCTCAAAGTGCTTTTCAATCCTTAAAACGAGCCTTAAGCGGTTGCCTTAAGTACATTGACCGACTACCCCATTAATGATACACTATATATAGTGTTTATCACTCCCATATTTTATACATTTCCCCTTATATCAATGCATATTTAGTTGGTTTGATTAAATTCCATATGAAATTCATAACTATTTGAATAATGAGCTTATGATAGACCTTGAGTGTGTTTTTATACTATTTGATGCCTTTTGGTGTTGTTTTGCACTTTTTAATGAGATAATGCACTCAATATGAATATGGATCACCGAGGGACCCAATGCATAAGAAGTCGGACGAGAATACAAGCATTTGGGCTCAATTAGAGATGGATTTGGACATCAAATGCTCTATATGGCTAAAAAAGTAGATATGCAAGTGCAGCAAGCCCAACCAATGTAGTAAAATGTGTGTTTCTAAGCAGAAGCGGAAACTTGAGTAGAAACATAAAACGTAAAAGCGTAGCGTAAAAGCGTTAGTTTTTGTGTATTATATTATTAATCTTCAACAAACTACATGTCTCATTTAAAAATGCACTACTCATGAAGATAAATCTAATTTGACAAACTTTTAATAGTGGAGCAAACATACAACCAATGCAGTCAAAAGCGCGATTCTACCTAGAAGCGGAAAATGGGTAAAATCGTAAAGCATAGAATCAAAGCGCAAAAGCGTAAGTTTTTTATGCATAAAGTATAATAGCTAAAATTTGTTAAGTACGACATAAACTATGTAAAATATGAGTGCACATAATTTTAAAAAGTTAATAAATACCTCCAATTCATGTATAAAGTAGAGAAACTCATAGCATCTTAACAATAAGTTCATCAACATAGGTCTTAACAATAAGCCACCTTCCCCTCTATGCTAATGAATTTGGGAATGGCCTAGGTGGCGAATTAGATTACTCTATTGAATCTGAGAATGCATCAAAGTACCTGGTATGTATATTTTAATATAAAAATTATATATCATATTGTTGGCCATTTACCTTTAAAATATATTTTTATAGTTAATTTCATGTAAAGAATACTCGTTTAGTGAACTAGAAGCGTAAAAGCGTATAATATTTTGGTGAACTAGAAGCGTAAAACCGTAAGTTTTTAAGCTTCAAAACGCAATTTAGTACGATTTTATACACTAAAGATTTTATATGGAAACGAAAGCGTTTTGGTGACCTAGAAGCGTAAAATCGTAAGCTTTTAAGTTTTAAAGCGTAATTTTGACTGCATTGCATACAACTAAACCAAATTATGCAATAAGGGAATAATGAGACTTCTTCAATCATAAAAAGTATAACCAATTAACAACTACACCTTGTTATCAACCGTTTTGTTTCAATCTGGATGTCCAATTAAACAAGATTACTGAGAATTCTTTTATTATGAGGTTCTTCATCCATTGAACATGATAACAGAGATTATTAGTAAATATTAATCACTTACGTCACACATCAAACAACAAAGTAATCACTTGATACAATTGTGGTGTAACATCATCGTCCCTCTTGAACATGTCATATGCCATGCTTACATCAAGGTGACGTCATCCCAATATTTGGACAAGCTTTAAATTATGACCCAACGGCAAACCTTGAAGGAACCAGAAAAATTAGGGGGAATTAGAGTTGGAGAATTAAGTAGGAAAGAAGAAGGAAGGATGAGAAGAATAGAGGAGCTGCGGAATTTTCGTTTTGCAGAAAGGCAGTGAGTTCAAGCGGGGATTCCAAAAGTACCAGCAGTTGGATCGTCCTCAACTTTGAAGGACACGTTTCATATCTTTTGGGATCCAATCTGATCGTTCGGATTGTCATTATTATCTTTGGTTTGTTGAAAAATATTGCTAGTTAGGTAGGGTTCGACCTTGTTTTCCTGTAGCTGTGCAGTTTGTTCAGGGGAAGATTCTAAAGAAACTAACCGTTGGATCGTCCTCAAACTTTAACGACAAATTTAAAACTTGTTGTGGATCGATTTGACTGTAGCGACCAATGTTTTGACCATTGATTTGTTGGGAGACAATACTGGACAGAGAGGATGTGAAATCGGTTGAAACCCTTCCAACTGGAAACATACAAAAACGGATCAAAAGCAAGTTTTTGACCGTTTTATCGCTTTTTAAATGCTTTTGCACACAATACATTTTTATTTAGAAACTAAAGCATTTTGCCTAGTCAGAAACATTAAAATATGCGTTTTTGGGTTTTAAGATGCGTTTTTTACTACATTAAGCCCAACATTGACCAAGTCCAACGGAGTTCTATAAGTCAAAATACGCCCAAATTTGGAGAAGAGGCTACTTTTAGGCCAAGCAACCAAGCCCAAGTGAAAAGGGGTGTCGGCCTCAACTGCCGCTCGTGCCCTAACTCTTGAGAAGCTTCTAGAATGTCCTTACTTTGTCTCGAAGTTAAAGGAATCCAAGTTCAAAGCATATAAGAAAGGATCAGTTGACTTTAAGAAGAAAAAGACTAGAAGTTATTGTTTCTACAAAAAAAAAAAAAAAGACTAGAAAATCCCCTTCTATAACTATTATAAATAGGAGGCTAGATCTTTCATGCACACCTTTTACCAACATTCTACCATAGGGGCACAAGTAGCAACCATAGTAAGGAGGTGAAATCCTGCTGGAGCGCGACTAGGAAGAATTCACCATCGATGCTTGTATCTATGGTGATGTTTTGTTTTTTACTTATCTATGGCATGATAGTTGATTTGTTTAGGGAATGCATGCTTTATTGAATGCATGTCTATGATCGTCGATGCTCCTTATCATATGATATTTTGATTGTTCTATGTATATTATGAATGCCACTATAATTTATACTACCATTATGGAGACAAGGAAACTCATCTCGTGTAGTATATAGGCATCATCTTTAGATGATGCTTGATAATTTAAATCATCGATGTTATAGACCATCGATTATGACTCAAGAGGCCCACACTTAATACTAAATGTGATATCCTAACTTCCTTGTTCTTTATTGATTAGGTGATTACATGAAGCGTAAGTACGCATTAGCTAGTCAAATCTCTATCGCAAGAGGCACATACACGGGGTAGAGAACAACCTTAGAGGAAGGGATAGGGCATCATAGTATAAGATGCATATATGCATCTTAGGGAGGAGAATGTATGTATGATCATCTAGAAAGCACTACCTAAGCATTTCTTTCATTGCCTTGCATCGTTTTTTATACTTCTTTCTTGCATGAGTGGAGTAGATTTCACATAAGGGCACCTCAACCCAACTTAGTTTTATTTTCAATTGCATAATCATTCAAGCACATCTAGTTATGTTTGAGGAGTTAATATCCAAAGACCTCGTGGAATATGATCCTAGGACATGCTAGGATATGTATCATTTGATTTCTAGATCAAGTTTTGGTGTCATTATTGGGGATTTTTTAAAAGTAATTGAAAGAAACTAACCTCTTGTGTTAGATTACATTGGAAATCTATTACCTCCTTGTTGTTTTGTTTTGTAGGAATCGAACTCTAGGGAAGCATAGGAAGGCATCCAAGGAAGAGAATAGTCAAAGCATCACTTGAAGAATGATGAGTTTCCTATTCTATTCAATTGGTTTAGGCCAAAAGAATCGAAGGTCGAGGCAAGCAACATCGATCCTCCTCCACTGCATTACTATGAATGAAGGGTTCGTGATGAGTGGATGAGTAGAGAAACAGATATAGAAGATTTGAGGATACTAAAGAGGATGGGATTTCACCCAACATTGTAGAACATTAAGCAAGCTATCGAAGCTATTGACGCAAGATACCAGATCAAGTCAGAACCTCCTAGGAGCATCGAAGCTAGCACCAATGAATAAGGGCCAAAGCCATTGCTAGAAGTTGTTCATATCATCGAGGAGCATCCCGAAGCTGATAAAGGAAGTTCTAATGAGGTGCATGAAGGTTTTGGAGAGATCAAGGAGCACGAAGGGCTTATGAGCATGAAAAATTCGTGGACCATGAAGAAGAGGAAGATCATCTCAAACCCAACCCATTAGATAAGGAAGAAGATGGAAAAATCATGGACCATGGAGAGAAGGATCATCATGATGCCAACGAACTTAATGAAGAAAAATATTAGTTTATAACTCAATCTCAGGAAAGAAAAGGCAAGAGAACCCATCAAGAATATGAAAAGGATGAAGGAAGTTGCTCACAACATGATGAAAGTATCACACCAACCATGGAGACCATGATCGAGTATCTTCAACCTATCAAAGATAAGAAGAATGATCAAACTATCAAGGAGCCTCAAGAAGAAGATCATCTCATGGCCAACTAATTTGATGAGGAAGAAGATGATTTTACAACTTTTGAAGAAAGGGAGGACGAGATACAGTCCTAGGAGTGGAATTGGAGGAAGAGAGATGTAGTATTGAAGAACTTGCACTAATCCAAACCATTTTGGATTCGTGGGAAGATCTTGAAGGATTTACACCTGTCAAGGGCTTGAACACTTCCCACACCGTATTCAATATGAATCTAGGAATAATCCACCAACCAAGGCATCCACCATTGGAAACATCCAGAAGGAAGAGTTCAAGTATGATGACCCCACTACACCTCTTATTCGAAGTTCTCAAAACCTTTGGAACCGAACATTGAATAAGAGATTGATGGAGGAAAATTCAAACAAGGATGATCAACCTTAAATAGAGTGGTAAGCGTTTGGTTAATTTCCTTCATTCTTTATACTCGAATATAGAAGATGAACCCTCTAAAACCCTTCCCTTTCGAGACAAGGAAATCTATTGGGCAAGACGATGCGAGAAGAAGCAATAAAAATGACTTAAGATGCCATTCCTTCCGGTAATTAATTTAGAGCCCTATATTGCACTACTCTGGTTCTTCCTTTAATTTTTTTTTTGCTTCTTATTGTTAGGGATTTGAAACGACTGAGTGATGAAGATAGCTTGTTCATGGGTTGATGAAGAAATATGTGAGTGAATTTTGGTTTTTTTAATAATGCTCTATTTTTCTTGTATGATTTCTTCTGTATGATTTCTTCTTTGCTATTAGATGACCAATGGCTAAAAATATACAGGATATACCACTTCAGGCATGTGTCTTTTTTATTGTTTGAGTTTAAAAAATGCGTCCCCTACCTTTTTGCAGCTGTAAATCTCAATACATGTTATTTGTTTACAAATTCTTATAGTGTTTGTTTTTATTTAGGACTTAACGATTATAATTTTACAATCGAACTCCATTATAAGGGAGAAGGGTGCATATATATTGTAGACACCACTTTTTGTCTGGGTTAAAAACATATCAAATTAAATAAATATTAGTTTTTGTTTAAAGTTGGAAATAGCAAATCTTAACGAATCTTCTAGCCGAAGTTGTATTTAAGTGCTTGGATAAGTCGTATTTGCTTTAGACCAATGAGATTAGCAATATCAAGTCTCGTTTGAAACAATTTGATAATGACGCGTTCCAGTTTTAGCAAATGGATTAGGCAATCTCCTAATTTAGTCCCCATTGAATTGATTATTTCGGAGCGTTTGTCTTTCACGAGAATTGGTCTCGAATTTGGAACGATAAAGGAAAAACAAATTAATAAGTAACATTGCAATTACAATTACATCCACCTTCATTAGACAAAAATTACAATTGCTATTACATTAATTAAAAATAATAAAATCAGGCCCTAGTCAAGCTCCAGCTCAGTCAACTTGAGTCAAGCCCAACCAAAAATTCAACTCGCACCAGTCAACTTTCGTCAGCCTAAGTCAACCATAAGTCAAGCCCAGACACAGATGTAACAGACTGGCCCAATCAAGTTTGGACCAGGCCGAATCTAGGCTGAACTAAATTGGTTCAACCAGACAAAGCCTAGCTTATTCAGCATCCAATAAGAAAAATACAACCGCGCTACATTTCACTATTCTTCTATAAAACAAACTCATGGCTTTCTCTATTCTTCGGTCTTCGTCATTTTGAGCTAGGGAACTCTCTTCCCTATACTTCTTCTTTGCTTGGACATAAAGACAAACAAAGGGGGTCCAAACTTCTTCTTCTTCTTCTTACAGACAGACCGAACTTATGTCTTCTTCCTCGACGGTTACCTACCATTTTCCAAAAGACAGGCAGAAAAAAAGAAGACAGTAGACTGGCTTTCTTTCTCCTTCTTTTTGGCACTTCCATTTCCTTTTCTCGCAAAAACAGACAAAAAGAGCAAATCAAAACCAACAGAAAAACACACAGCACACAAAAAACTTTCCCCACTTCATATGTTCTTCCTTCTTAACCACGAAAACCCACACACAAACTACACAACAATACTAGAAACCCACACACAGAAAACGAAAAAGACACTATTCTCTACTTATTATCTTCTGGCTATCCACAAAGCAAGAATAACGAAGCTTAAAGAAGTAAGCAGACAAACGGTAGGAGAGGCAAAAGAGAAGAAAGAGAGCAAAAGTCAAGGCTCCATCTCAGCAAACCTACAAGAGAAGGAAACAAGTAAATAGTAGACATCACAAGGATGAGTCGCTCATAAAAGTCAGGTTTGAACTTACTCAAAACATCACAATCATCCATCCATCTATTATGCTGCTTCTATTCATCAAACCATTTCATTTCTTTCGCATAAATCCTATCAATCCCGAGCAGACTTCAAGTCGGCCTAAAACAACTTAAAAAGAATCAAAGCCCAATAAGCCCCAAACAAATTACAAAATGACAAAATCTCACCATTATATCAAGATAATCAATAGAAATATTGTTTGCTTTATGTTTCTCTCTATTTCTATTTCAGCTTTTGTAGATTGTTTCAGTATTTCCATTTAAGCGATTTGCCACTACCACCATCTACTTATATACTTTTATCTTTCTATTTAAGTTCCTTTTCTAATTTAAGAACTTACTATTATCATCATCCATTCCATGTGCTTGTTCGTCTCCCTCCTCTTTCTATTTCTATAAACTACATAGCTTAACATGTATTTCAGTTAAACACATATCAAATTAAATAAATTTTAGTTTTTGTTTAAGGTTAGCAATAAGAAATCTTAAAGAATTTTCTAACAGAAGTCGTATTTAAGTGCTTGGATAAGTTGTATTTGCTTTGGATCAATGAGATTAGCAATAGCAAGTCTCGTTTGATACAATTTGATAGTGACGGTTTCCAATTTTAGCAAATGGATTAGGTAATCGCTTAATTTAGTCCCCATTGAATTGATTGTATTCGGAGCGTTTGTCTTTCATGAGGATTGGTCTCGACTTTGAAACGATAAAGAAAAAAATTAAGAAGTAACATTGCAATTACAATTACATCCACCTTCATTAAACAAAGATTACAAATGTTATTACATTTATTATAAATAATAAAATCAGGCCCTAGTCCAGCTCCAGCTCAGTCAACCTGGGTCAAGCCCAACCAAAAAATAATCTCGGACCAGTAAACTTTAGTCAACCCAAGTAAACCAAAAAGCAAGCCCTGTCCCAGATGTAACAGACTGGCACAATCAAGTTCGAACCAGGCCAAATTTAGGCTGAACCAAACTGGTTCAACCAGACAAAGCCCAGCCCATTCAGCTTCCAATCAGAAAAATACAACCACCTACACTACTCTAGTGCTACAGTTCACTATTCTTCTATAAAACAGACTTCTCGCTTCCTCTGTTATTCGGTCTTTGTCTTTTTAAGCTGTGGAACTCTCTTTCCTATTCTTCTTCTTTGCTTCGACAGAAAGACAAATAAAAGGGATCCAAACTTCTTCTTCTTCTTACAGACAGACCAGACTTTTTTCTTCGTCCTCGACGGCTTCCTTTCTCATTTCCAAAAGACAGGCAGAAAAGAAAAAAAGTAGACAACATACTGGCTTTCTTTCTTCTTCTTCTTGGCACTTCTTTTTCCCCTTTCTCGCAAAAACATACAGAAAGGGCAAATCAAAACCAACAAAAAAACACACAGCACACAAAAATCTTTCCCCACTTCCTCTGTTCTTCCTTCTTAACCACGAAAATCCACGCACAAACAACACAACAATACTAGAAACCCACACACAGAGAAAGAAAAAAAACACTCTTCTCTGCTTATTCTCTTCTTACTATCCACAAAACAACAATAACGAAGATTAAAGAAGTAAGCAGTCACATGACAGTAGAGGCAAAAGAGAAGAAAAGGAGCGAAAGTCAAGGCTCCAGCTTAGCAAACCTACAAGAGAAGGAGACAAGTAAATAGCAGACACCACAAGGCTGAGACTCCCATAAAAGTCAGGTTTGAACTTCTTCAAAACATCACAATCATCCATCCATCTATTATGTTGTTTCTATTCTTCAAACATTTTCATTTCCTTTGCATAAACCTTATCAATCCCGAACAAACTTCAAGTTGGCCTAAAACAACTTAAAAAGAACCAAAGCTCAATAAACCCCGAACAAATTACAAGATGGCAAAATCTCACCATTATAACAAGATAATCAATAGATCTATTGTCTGCTTTATGTTTCTCTCTATTTTTATTTCAACTTTTGTAGTTTATTTTAATATTTTCATTTACGCATTTTACCACCACCATCATCTACTTATATACCTTTATCTTTCTATTTTAAGAACTTACTATTATCATCATCCATTCCATGTGCTTGTTCGTCTCCCTCCTCTTTCTATTTCTATAAACTACATAGCTTAATAGTTAAGTCAGCTTATGTATGCTATTATTACCGCTATTAATAATCTACTATTCACAATTTAACTATATGTTTCATCTATCATCTTAGTTAAACTTCCAAATTCCATCATTTAGATACATAAGCGAAACAAGGCTAAATTCACCTTCAATCACGGAATGGAAAGCAAGTAACATGTCATAACTCCTCTACCAAAAAATTGAACCAAATCCTACATGCAACCCGAAAAGAGACTAATCTATGACCTTCCTCATCACAGGTATCGATTGTCGCAGTCCCCGTCGTCGGTGTTGTCTTCTTTTTCTTCCTTTTCTCTCGGTAGTTTCCACAAAGAGAGAAGAATGCGGATCGAGAAGAGTGAGAGAGAGAAAGAAAATGGAACAGTTTGGTGTTCTTTCTTTCTCCTTTGCTCGATCCAGAGAGAATGTAGAAGAGGGAGGACTAGTGAAGTCGATGAAGAATAGAAGAGCGCCGGTATGGCTAGGACTAGTGAGTGAAGGTTAGGTTTTCGTTTAAGCCTGAAGAGGAACAAACTCTTAAATAACAGTTTACCCCTTGATGTTTCTTAAAATTACCCACTGCACTTCTGAAAATGGAAAAATAAAAAATCGTAACCAGGTTAAGTCTCGAGCTTGCCACTTCCACCTCACACGAAATCACCATTGTTCTAAACCACCAACCTATAAACTGTTTTATTAACATCTTTGCTTCGTTATCATTTTAAATGTCCTTAAATATGCAACTCACGGTTAATAAAACGTTACAAGGTTCTCAAATGTCAACATTTCCTCAAATTACCAATCCTAAATTCATGATTACCACTTTACATTACTTAAAAATAGAAATTGTTATCTTAATCATGATCAATGATTGTGGTAAGATCACGTCATAAAATCACTACATTTGAGCGAACTACGTGGACTTTACTAACTCGGGTACGTAGACAAACAATAGGTTCGAGTCCAACTAACCAAAAACTCTTTCTTTAATTTTGAGGACTACGTCAATAAATGTATGATCAAATATTAGCAACAAAGACATAATTAATCGAGTCATATAATTAAATACGTAAATAAGCCAAATAATAATAAAACACCCAACAATTAAAAACTTATCGATTTAAGTAGTATTGATTTAGGGCGTTGTGGGATGTGAACA